GGCCACTAGAGGCGCTTTCTGTGTCAATGCTGTACAGTGTACAGCACTGACATTCAGCGTCTCCACACTTTGCAAGGAGAAGCTGAACATTCGACATAGAGATGCACTGTTTCATGCACAATAGCCTCTCAATTCTGGCCTATGGGAAACATTGGACTGGCTTTTGTGATGATCTTAGCTATGGAGGCAGAGCCAACCGCATGGAAACCCGTATGGCACTGGAATTAAGGTAAGTTTTATACCTTACAGGGGGGCAAGGGAAGACTGGCATCCTAAAATGTGCTTTTAACACTATGGTGTTCCTTGAATGCATTTTAACAGAATTACATTAGTTATTTATCTGTTTGTAATTTATATTTTTATTGTCATGTAATATTATAGAGGTGATTTAACAAAATAAAAATATGAATAAATGTTTATCTTTACGACACTTTCATCTATGCATTGTGGTGCCACAAAATATGTTCGTTTGTTTTTTTGTACTTTCTTTTTGTGCCATCTGATATGCTAACCTCCCAACATTTTAAACTGACAAAGAGGGACACTTTATTTTTAAGGGTGTGAGTAGAGGTGTGGGCAGGAAACAGGTTATTCTGAGAAATTTTAGGTGAGTTACCTATTGCAATTTATGCAACTAAAATGTAATTTAGAACAAGAACAATGTATCTTATTTACACAATCTGATTTTTTGTAGTTTAAAGACACATTACTGGTAGTTTTATTATTGTGGAGCTCTGTTATACACTCAGACACACCAACAATATGGAGCGCTTAGAAAAAAGGGACATTAGGAGAGAAAAAAGGGACAGTGGGATTTGGGCCCAAAATTGGAACTGTCCCTCCTAAACAGGGACACTTTGGAGGTATGTTGTTATCCATCAGCCAGTTACAGAATGTTGCAGCCAATATCTATAAAGATCAGCAAACATTAACTACTTGATCAGGATAAAAAAACGGGTCTTTAAGTGATGTCATCTTTGGCAGATGCTTACTAAGGTGTGTCTGCCCTGGGTGACAGCTCTTCACTGTTCCGTAGTGTATTGTGACCACAGCAGAGGTTGAACATGTTCCTCAGTGCAGCTTGGAGTGCACAGCTAGCAGTGAGTGGAATGAGTGGTACTTAACTTTCTAGCTAAAGTGAGAATTTATAAAAACTGCAATAATTACACTTGCAGGGTTAAGGGTGGTGGGAGTTGGCACCCAGACCACTCCAATGGGCAGAAGTGGGCTGATGCCTGGAGTGTCCCTTTAATGACTGAATTGCAGTAACTGAAATTTGTCTCCGGGGTACAACTAGTTATTTTCTAGTGGATTTTGCTATTTCTGCAAAAGTTAAAAATAATGCATTTGGTGTTGGAGTTTGATCGCTGCAATAAGATTCTTCTTTCCATCCACCTTTTGTTTCAGCTTTGGCCGACAGTCTGCGTGCAATGGGATGTAAATTTCCCAATGAATATCCCTAACAACATGCATTATAACAAACAAGGCTGCTGCTTATTGGACTGTGGGCTTCATAACATTCCTCTCTGATCTTCACTTAAAATGCATAAGACAAAATAGGGACTACTTTGCCTTCAGTATTTTACTACACTCGACAAAGGGTGGAGTTTAATGCAAGCATTACTTCCTTTGTCAAATTCTATGTTTTCATAATGCTCACCTGCCTGTATTTTAATAATTCCTACTCTCTGCTTCCCCAAATGCTGCGCATTAAAACTTAGTAAAATGTCTCTGCTTCCTGCTGCTGGACATGCATGGACCTCTTTGCAGAGTATGGGCGCACAAGAACAAGGAAAATAGTCACTACCAGGTTCTTCAAAATGGCAGCACATTGAAAAAAGGAGCAGGGAGCCTTACTACTTTTTGCAGCAGTGTGATTTTAATAAGTGGTCGCCTAATATTCGATTTAAAAAAAGCGGTCTACCATTAAAAATATGTTTAGAATGTTCCAGTTAATTCAAAATGTTATTGTTCATAAAGTGAAACATGTATTTTTATTTAAATGACAGTGTTACTCTTGGCAGCAATTTCAATCAGACTTTTGACTAAAAGGACATTTTAGTAATTTGAATTGTTTTAGTCGACATGACAAATATCTAATGGGTTTAGTTAAAGCCTCTGTCTCTTTTACTCCTCCAAGCCCCTCTAGGTGTCTCTCCCAAGCCTGGTCTGTCTCTTTTGCCTCTTCTACAGTCCCTCTGTGCAGTGCCAATTTTGGTGGCAAATTTCTATTTAGTCATAGTCTTTTGACTAAAAGGCCATTTTAGTCATCTGAATTGTTTTAATCAACCAAATCTCAAAATTTTAAATTAAAATTTGGCTAAAATTTTGTCAACAAAATTAACACTGAAAGACAGTGTGCAGCATCTACACTCTTAATGAAGATGCCGAACGATGGAGATACATTAATCAAATGCAGATTAGCACAGCGTGGTGTTTTGCTGTGCATGCACAGTAGCCTCCCGAAGCTCTCATATGAAAGCATTGTATTGATGATTTCAGACACTGAGGCAGGACCAGCTATGGAGAACAGATCAGTGAAATCACCTTTTCACTGTGTGTAGGACTGGATGCCTAAACATTTATTCCAGAACTATAGTATTGGACATATGGTTTTAGAAAAAGTGTTCCTTTAAAGTCACTAGTGCAGAATTGTAACAAATTAAAATGTTAATCTTCATAGTGAAAGTGTAGCTACAACCAAATTGGGAATTTTTTATAAACCACTCATTTTGAACTTCGCAAATCTGTCCTGCGCCGGTCAATCTCCCAAAAATAAATGACATAATTATGGGAGTTGTAATCCAGCATTAATGAGACTGCCATTTTACAAACCTGCTGTATAGGTTCGGTGTTTTAAACTCAGTGACAAGAACAAGATTGGTCTCATACAGGATGGAGCGAGAAAGTGATTTGTAGAGAACAATAAGTTGGACTATTCTTGCAAACACTTTCTCTGGCACCAATATGGCAGTTTCATGTGTACTCAGATTATAGGTGCAAACTATGGGGTCAGATTCTATTGGCAATCATCTTTCATTTCAACCTTTACAGTAAAAGCTCTTGCCAACACGTTGGATAGAGTACAATACTGCTGGCCAAAACAAGTCAGTCAATCATGTTTTGACCAGCAGATTAACTATTAGTTACAGATGGTAGCAATGACAATGTAATGTGACTAATGTTCAAATCTGACATCTAGAGAGGCTGATTTGTGAAGTGTCTTTTACATATACTCAATATGTTGCCTGCTTTATTCATTTGGTAAACAGGGCCTAGTCTTCAAAAGCCATACAGAGACTATTACACGTCTAAGAAACAATCAGTTGACGTGCTATATACACACACCCCCCAATTGTATTTTTTTGTAATGCAAGAGGAGAGGAATTTAAATTGTGTATATTTAAAGATTCTTTTGTTTAAGAGAAGCATGTCACTCCTCATCCAATGCCATGTGTATCTCTACTAGATTGGTCAATTAGTTAGTTAAACCTAGCTGGACCAGGCACCCAGACCACTTCATTAAACTGAAGTGGTCTGGGTGCCTATAGTGGTCCTTTAAAGCAGAATAGAGCAACATGTTGGTGGGCAGCGAGGGAAGAAGTTAAAAGTTACAGTAGCAGTGTACCCCTTACAGCTGAAACTTCTACACCACATTTGTAGACTAAACAGGATACTTACACCATGTGCATTTTAAATTTGTGCGCAAAAAAAAAATTCTATAAAAGTTTAGTTCTCCCCCATCAACCACACAGTGCTAACAGATTTGCAAGAACATTTATAGATTGGATAAAAATGTAAAAAAAACTAGGACTCTCCCACCGGTCAGTCAATTCGTTGGCATATAGACTGTTGTAGAATTGACCAATAAAGGAGAGCACAAGTGAGATATTGATTAAAGCTCAGTTATTTCAAGTTATGAACCAACTGAGACATTATGCTAACAGTCACACAAGCTTACAGTGCACAAAATTTCACCTGAAGATAAAAAAACAAAAACAAAAAAAAGTGTAGGTCTCAAGGACAGAGCATGGAAGTTACATTCAAGTGTCATACTTTCTCCTAGTTTCCTCTTCTAGAATCCTTTGATGGATTCTCTTTAAAATATGCCCCCCCCCCCCAAAAAAGTTTATTTTTCATGCGCTTGACAATCTCTGCAAAGGGAGGAGCTTAAGGCAAGCTCCACTCCCTTTGGTGAACCCAGGAAGGGTAAAATAAACAACCATAATGGTCCCTAGTTTGACTTATGTTAAACAAAAACTACATTATAGAACAGTTTCTGAAAGAGGAAACAAATAGGTGACATGCAAATTTGAGATGACAGCCACATTGCAATGCCCAGTGCAAGGTGGACAAGAAAGTTGCCTTGGGCAGTACTTTCAGGGGGCGAAAAGCCTCCCCCCCTCCAAATGCCTTGCCAGCCTCTTGCCCGCCAGACAAGCATGCACTGATGTAGGAGGGCAGCGAGGGAACACTCTCCCCTGCTCAGCTCCCTAGCGCGCAGATGCCGGAGGCAGAGATCAGAGCTCCACTCCAGCACTCCCAAACGTGGATTGAAATGTAAAAAACGAATTTGTGTGAGAGTCAATGAGAGTGTGCGACTGAGCGAGTATGCCTGTGAATGTGTAAGTTAAATTTTGTGTTTGTTAAACTGTGTGTGACAATGACAGTGTATATGTGAGGGTGTGTGTCTGTCAGGAGAAAAATTTGGAAGGTGGTAGGGGGATGCCAAATTTTGACACAAAACCAGAATACAGCAATGGCAATGCCCAAAACCTGCCTGCAAAGCCACATTCACCAACATTATGTATGTATGTGAAAAAAAATAAATAAAAAAATAAACTATTCTGTACCATCTAAAACATTAGGCCAGTACTTTATAAGCTATTTACATATGCAACCAAGCTTACGAATTCCCCATTTACTCTACAGGAAATAGTTAATTTAGGCACTTCTAGAAGACAACATATCACAAAACCGACACTCACACCACTAAATTTTTTTTTTTTTTTTTTTTAAACTGAAGAATTGACAGCTATTCAGTCATATTAAAATGGTAAACTTTTTTGTTATAAAAACTTTTGACACAGTGCTTCGACAATTACAGTGCAACAAAAAACATTTCAACCAGGTTTTATTGGTTTGGTGATAAGTACACAGACACTATGAACAAGCTGTACAATTTGTTTTTTTTTCTTAAAACTCTAGTTAGAATTGGAAATCTAGAATAAAAACATGTAGTTTAATGTATTTGAATCCATATTGTAGCGGCTTTTCCAGCTTTCAGTTAAAACAAAGCCGATTTGTAGAAAATAAACTAGCACCCCTCGTACCAGCATCTAGGATGCTTTAAGTACAAATCATTCTCTCCCAAGGAGGCCAACAGTAATTTTTCAGCCACCATAGGAGAAAAAATAAAATAAAAAATAATAATAAAAGTTTAGAAGATAGGGGTTGACATTGGATCTGTCATGCTTTGCTTGCCAGTACTTCACATCAAACTCACTACACACGCAAAGGAGGTTTTCCCCAAAGATTCACAGCACTTTTACAAAGTTACTGAAAATAAAATACCACTACCCAGAAAAAAAAAAAAAAAAAATGAATAACATCGTCACAGATAGTACACAATTCTTAGAGGGATATCCGTCACCAGGGGAGTTTATTAAGTTGTAAAATTGTACGCAAGACAAGGGGTACAGAACAGTTAAAATGTTAAGACATTAAAAATAAAAATTGAACCGTTTTGAGTACCAGTGACAGCAGTCAGTTTTACAAGCAACCCGCGCAAAAGGCAGGTTTCAAACAGTCATTATCACGGGCGTCTGAATAATATCAGCCTGAGACGCACTCCCCAGAGTAAAAACATGTAACACCCCCCAGACAGCTGAAAACTGGTACTGACTGCTAACCTGTTCTTAGGAAATGCAATAATTACATCCAAATAAAAACATAACAAAAAAGAAAAATTTAAAATAAAATCTGTGGTGGGATTCCCTATTTTAAAAATGTGTTTTCTAGAATTAAACTACTAAAAAACTTGCATTTACAAAATAGTTGATAAAAATATTCCTCTGAATTGTACAAGGGAGGTACAGGAACCACTGATAAAAGACTTGTTACAAGATGAGTTATTCAGACTTTGATTCCTTGTCTCCTCCATCAGAAGCTGGAGCCTAGAGTAAAGAGAAAGATGTTTAAGTATTGCTTACTGGAGAAAGTTAAGACACAAGACATCTCAAAAAGGAATAAACATAGTATATATATTTTTTTGTCAACTTATTCTGCAGCACGGTACATTTTTACAGCTATAAAGGGGTGGCATTTAACAGAGACCATCAAAATATTTTGACAGGAAAGAACAGCAGATTAGGAGACTGCAAAAAAATAAAATAAAAAAAAAAAGCCAACCCCACAAAGCCATTTTAGCAATTTGAACTACTATTTGGCTTGTATAAAAGGAGGTCATGCTCTCTAAAAGAAACTGCTGACAAGGAATGCAGGTAGTAATAAAACCTAGAAACACAAACAGCTGCAATCCATTTTAAACTAGGCCTCCCATGTGGCTCTACATAGAATCATGGCCCCTTCCATTTGACTTGAGAGCCAGAGGCTATACTCCAGCCTGGTGTATGCCTAGATGTGAGGACCCTGCTGCAGAGCCCCATGGGAAAGATAGACATGACACTTACAAGATTTATATCATCGCTCCATCAGTTCACAAGATAAACATTTAAAAAAAATAAAAAAAAATTGTATAACTATGCCCTTAAAGACCAACATGTCCAGTTTGCCTTCACATTTGTGTAAGGGTTGTGGTCTACTTTTTAGCATCAGCTATATAGGATGAAAGTTAGATGGAACAAATTTTAAAGCGGTCACATCTAGGCATAAGTACACTTTGTATAAATCATTGACAATATGGAGCATGCATCATGAAATATTTGCTTTAGCAATAGCAGTCAAACCACGCTACCACTAGATTGCAGGGTTACTTTGACAGATAACTACACCCCAAAATTAACCAACCTCATCACTTTTTGTCTCTCCGTTTTCAGATGGCAGGTCTTCCTTAGCTTCCTCTTTGTTAGCTTCCTCAGTCTGTTTGCCTTTGGCTCCCTTCTTTCCTTTTGCTGGGACTTTTTTGTCCTCTGATTTCTCCTTAAAAAAAAAATAAATAAAAAAAGTTAGAAAACGCTCATCCAACATTGCAAACCTTGTAAAAGGCAATACACAAGAATAGACTATTTCCAATGGCAAACAGCTCAAACCTTCAAGACTATTCCTCAGGTATACATCAGTTTAATTGTACTCTGCAGAGAACTACTTTACTGATACAACTCGATACCAGGGATCAAATAAACTAAATCCTGTAATGCGTCTTAACAGGAACATGAAGTGGCAATGCCAGTCCCCAAAAAAAAAAAAAACCACAACTTTAACAGTTACAGCTCAAAGTAGGGAAACCAAACAGGTAGATCCACAACTCATTTGATTCATGGACTAAAAACCATCAAAGCATATCAAGAGCTGTATTACGTTTTATGGTCCAATGCAAGAGAAAAACCTTTTAATCAACTAAACCTGCTCTGATACGGAAGTATGTGACCAATAGAAGGGATAGCCAACTACCAAGCCAAGTTCACAAGGTTTGCAAATAAAGCAAGTTCATATAGACAGCATGCACAAGGGACAAAACCTTATAACCGATTTATACACAACAGCGACAAGCAGTTATTGATAGTGTAGCTGTAACGGATGTAAACTAAGACACCATTGGAGTTTGTGTCAGAGACACCAGTTTTGGTGACGCAGGAAGATTAGAGGACCACTATAGGCACCCAGACCACTACAGCTCTATGAAGTGGTCTGGGTGCCTTGTCCCCCTAGTTTTAACCCTGCAGCTGTAAACATAGCAGTTTTAGAGAAACTGCCATGTTTACATTGAGTGTTAATCCAGCCTCTAGTGGCAGTCTCCCTGAGACCCACTAGAGGACGCTTCCGCAATCCTCAATGTGAAATTACATGGAGGACACGCTGAACATCCACAGGAAAGTATTGAGTAATGCTTTCCTATGGACGATTTGAATGTGTGAGAGTTAGTTTTCCTGGCACTATAACATACCCTTTAACATATGCTTCCATGGTGCCCATGACACTTTAAAGGAACACTATAGTCACCTAAATTACTTTAGCTAAATAAAGCAGTTTTAGTGTATAGATCATTCCCCTGCAATTTCACTGCCATCTAGGAGATAAATCACTTTGTTTCTGTTTATGCAGCCCTAGCCACACCTCCCCTGGCTATGATTGACAGCCTGCATGAAAAAAAATCTGGTTTCACTTTCAAACAGATGTAATTTACCTTAAATAATTATATCCCAATCTCTAAATCGAAACTTTAATCACATACAGGAGGCTCTTGCAGGGGGTCTAGCAAGCTATTAACATAGCAGGGGATAAGAAAATCTTAATTAAACAGAACTTGCAATAAAGAAAGGCTAAATAGGGCTCTCTTTACAGGAAGTGTTTATGGAAGGCTGTGCAAGTCACATGCAGGGAGGTGTGACTAGGGTTCATAAACAAAGGTATTTAACGCCTAAATGGCAGAGGATTGAGCAGTGAGGCTGCAGGGGCATGTTCTATACACCAAAACCGCTTCATTAAGCTAACATTCAGGTGACTATAGTGTCCCTTTAAGCTTAAGTTGTTCAGGTGACTAGTGTCCCTTTAACTACAGTCCTATGTTGCACCCTTTCAAAGGCTACAAAACTAATTTACCTTTACTACAGCTTTCTCTTTCTTTGCCTTTGGTTCAGCTTTTGGTGGTGCTGGTTTCTGCAAGACAAAATCCATATGATACATTTAGAGATTGTAACCAAGTCACCAAGGACACATTTTATATAATCTATAGCAAGGAGAAGGTTACTTACAGCCGACAACCGTGCCGATCTCCTCTTGGGCTAGAAAAACAAAAATACAATCAGAAAATTTTAAATTTAAAAAAACCTCCAACACAGATACCATAAACAAATATCTAAATACATATAATTTTTTTTTTTTTTAAATAAAAATACATAAAAATGTATTTACCTCATCTTTTGCATCTCCAGCATCAGCGGCATTGACCTAATTGTGAGAAAAAAAAAAAAAAATAATAATTTTTTTTTAGAAAAAACAAACAAAAAAACCCAAATATTTAATGCACATGACAGACTACATCAACCCTAAAACAATATTAAATAAATAAACCTGACCTTGGGCAAGTCAACACAGCCTAGTGCAACAAGTTGAACGGTCCTCCACTGACAGCGAGCCAGCAGATGGCGCTGCGCACTGCCTGAGTACACTACTAATACATCTATGGTAGAGACCAACTATTACAAAAAAAAAAAAAAGGGAGGGTGTGCGCGTTGGAAGAATGCAAGTCGCCTCATAAACAAACAAGACACCCAGCGCGCGGGCACGCCAACACTGGTCACCACACCCCCCCCCCTGGTTAAAAAGAGAGATGGATCATGCCCTCCCTGTACTGGATAACAAGACGATGATCCCAGGCAGGGTCAACCATCACAGAGACACAAAAAAATAATAAAGAGGGGGGTGTGTGAGACGGACTCGATAGGCCGTGACGTCAGAGCATCCTCGCGCGCCCATTGGCCGCGGCCACCCGGAACGTTCTAGAACGGCGGACCTCCCCGCCGCGCGCTGGCCAGTGAGCGCGGGAGATCTCAGAGGAGAACCCGCCACCGGGGGGAGAGGAAAGGAGGAGGGAGACAGCCAGAGAGCAGCTCATCCCGAGCAGAGTCCGCGCCATTGCAGCACACTCAGGATAATAAGATAAATCCATCGCCTCAAACTCCCGCCATCCTGGCTTATCTCCACACAGGAAAAAAAAATATATAAAAACTATAATAAACGTATAAATACACCGAATGTCACCCGGTCAGAATCCGCAAACACCAAAAATAAGCGAAATTGTAATAAAAACGGAATTTAAAACAAAATCCTGAGGTAAAATGTCTTTATAAACCCAGATACACCGCGCGCCGTGACATCGCAGGAGCTGCGCGGAGCGAACACAATGGACCGGGAGCCGCGAACAATGGAGCCCGCTACGGGGAAATTTGGCGGCAAAAAAAAAAAAAAAAAATTAGAAAAAAAAAAATATAAGCCGAGGGAACCGGGTGCAGAAAATCCGGTATCCGGGAGCTCGGTCACCGAGGAGTACCCGCCGCGAGAAGACCGGGTCACTGCGCGCCATCGGGATCCGGCGGTGGAGGATCGGGTCACCGGACTGCGCGCCATCGGGATCCGGCGGAGGAGAGGATCGGGTCACCGGACTGCGCGCCATCGGAGAGGATCGGGTCACCGGATTGCGCGCCGTCTGGGATCCCGAGGAGAACCCGCCGTGGGCGCCAAACCTCCTGCGAGCTCCTCCGCCGCGGCATCCACGCAGCTCGCCCTCGCCGATAGTAAGCGGGAGTAGGAGGGCTGATCACCCCGCGCAGCGCCATGCCTGCCGGGGGGGCTTACCTTTCTCTTGGGCATGGTGAGGAGTTTGTGCTTTTTGTTTTATTATCGAGAGAGGGGTAATCCTGCACCCGCTGCAGCCTCCAGCACTAATGGACGCCTGAGTGCACGGCAGAGAGCGTAGCAAATCCCTTCCTTCCCTCCTGCAGATGGAGTCCTCACAAAGAATACCTCGATCCCCAGCGTCTGCAAGCGGTTAATATGCCAGCCACAGAACTAGTTCAAACCGGATAGGATCCCTCCGCCTCTTATCTATTCACCGCTACGACCTGCTGGGGGGCTGGAAGGAGGAGAACTTACCTCTATCCCGCCCACCTACCCCGGGGATTGGCTCAGCGGCTCCACAGAGCGCCTTTCAAACCATAACACAGGCACCTGTCTGGGTAGGTTAGCCTGTCAGTCACTCCCCCCCCCTTTCTCTACAATGGGGGGGTGATAAGGGGGTGGGTTGCATAGTAAATCGGCTTTAGGTATTTTTTATTTATTTTTTTCCCTCCATCAGGGAGTCTTTTTTTCACGTTTGTTTGAATCGCTGGTGGTAAATAGAACGTCGCGCGCTGATTGGCCAGAGCCAGCCCTTCTGGATGGAACGTCACGACCCACAACGTTCCAAACATATGTCCCAACGTTCCATCCCATGCCCTGATGTTCTAAATGGAGGGGGGTGGGGCGCTCTAATGTGGCCACCATGCTGGTGCAGAAAGAAAGATAGATTTTAACGAAATAAAATATTAAACTATAGCGTTAAGGCGGCTTGCTCTTCCCCGGTCCTAGGGTTTAACATTCCCCGAGCTTACCCCAGGGCCCCCCCGAGGGGTGGGGTTTGATGATTGCTATTGTGTGTCTGTGTGATGTGATGGAAAGCTGGGGAAACATGGCGGAGAGCTGTGCGTGGCTGTTAGTGCTGAGCACTGTATTTTTGTGCAATCTCTTTAAAATCCTGCTTCCTTCTTTTTCCTCAATAGTAAGTAAGCAGACAGACGATGCGTGAATTTAAATAACCTAAATAAACCACATACGAGCATGTCCTCCATGTAGAAAAGGAGGGATCCAGGACGTGTAACAAGCTATACAAAGGTTCTGTAAATGGGAAATGTATGTTAAAATTCAATGTTAGTGATAGGTGTTGGTGTGTTTTAATCTCCAATTCATTGTTTACAAGTCACAATGTACAAGACAGACATAGAAAACCCATATTCCTATAAATTCTTGTGATGAGTAGGATTAAACCATTCCAATAGACTCCATAAAACCACGGTTGTGCTTTGCTATTTTTATATAATTACTGCCATTTTCTTTTAGTCATGTTTTCACCTTATTTAACCTCTTCACGTGCAGCACGGAAAAGGAAAACACACTACAAATCTGAACTTCACTGTTGTGGTTTAAGAGATAAAAAAAATAAACCCTGCATAAGAAAAATAATAATACGTGCAGCTCTAATCCCCTTACTAACAGTACATGGGTGGCCATCTGGAAAGGTTCAGGAAGGGTCCATGAGTGCCCAAAGTACCATTATCCTCTGCAACAAACAAGCATGGTGCACGATCTATGTGCTTCATTACAGTGCCTATAGTGGGTTTTAGACATCACAAGACAGGCATGCCACCATTGTGCCATCCTTGTACAAATCGGATATTGGACATGTTTGTTGTTTTTTTCATTTTGTCTGAGGAATGAACATTAGTCTTGAACGTTAAATACACATACCTACGTACTTGTCTGTTGATATTAAAACAAGTAACTATAATTATATAGTGCTTTTTTAGTGCACATATTTTGTTATTGGCGTGTTACTGCAACATGAACTAGAAATAAATATTAAAAAAAAAAAAAAAAATAGCAACAGCGACAGCACCTCCCCCAATGTAAAAGGACCTGTGTGCACTAACTTTTATCCAACAAATTGATACAAGTAACTACACTGATTTCCAATGCAGCTTGCACAATTCCAGTTATTCATATTTAAATTGTAAAAGGCTGTACAGGGTTACAAAGTAAATTACATTTAGACATGACATCTGATGTTTTATATATATTTGTATGTTTAATGAGTGACACACATGTCTTGAAAATCTCTCCAAGTGGGAAATTGGGACCTAAAATTTGCAATTCACACCTTGATGACTATTAGGGCTTATTCACTACACTGAAAATTGAGCAGGTATTTTGAATCTTTAGGATACAATAACTACAAAAAAATATATAAAAAATTTATATCAGCAATTTTCCAGATCTGTCATTTGACAATTCACGGTCAGTTCTTAACAATTCCCAGTTTAGTGAATTACGCAGAATAACAGATTTATTCACTCAATTCTGAATTTTAACTACTCAAATTTAAAGGACCACTCTATGCACCCAGACCACTTCAGCTTAATGAAGTGGTCTGGGTGCCAGGTCCAGCTAGGATTAACCCATTTTTTTTATAAACATAGCAGTTTCAGAGAAACTGCTATGTTTACAAATGGGTTAATCCTTCCCCCAATTCATCTAGCGGCTGTCTCATTGACAGCCGCTAGAGGCATTTGCGTGATTCTCACTGTGAAAATCACAGTGAGAACACGCAAGTGTCCATAGGAAAGCATTGTAAATGCTTTCCTATGCGACCGGCTGAATGCGCGCGCAGCTCTTGCCACACGTGCGCATTCAGCCGAATGGGTGGATCGGAGGCGGAGAGCTCCCCGCCCAGCGCTGGAAAAAGGTAAGTTTTTACCCCTTTCCTCTCCCCAGAGCCGGGCGGGAGGGGGACCCTGAGGGTGAGGGCACCCTCAGGGCACTATAGTGACAGGAAAACGAGTATGTTTTCCTGGCACTATAGTGGTCCTTTAAGCGAAAGTAGTGTAGCTGTGACTATAGCTGTTAAATTTTTTTATTTAATTAGCTAAAATCTGATGTTTAAATTTTAAAAAAATGATAATTACTCCAACTCTATATTTTTACACACATTAGGTCCTAATAGTCTATTGAGCTTGTTCAGGCACCAACCGTCTTCCCTATAAACGCTAAAATAAATAATAACATAAGAAGCTTGTGGAGCTGCTCAGCACTCCCCCGTCTGACATCATGGCAGCCATTGCAACGTCCAATCGAAGGCTTCTCGTAGAGAAACATTTGACTTGACCATTTAACCACTTAGAGCGCATGCACGCATTCTTAGAGAGGGATATGAGGAAATGAGGCTTGAAAAAAATAAAATAATAATAATAATAATAGGTGGGGAGAGCTTCAGTGCAGTGCATGTTGACAACAGACATTTTCTTTTTGCATTTCACGTGTGGCGGGTGTATAACTAGCCCCTGGCACATAAATGCAAATGTCTTCAAGCAAAACAGCTGCGCATACAGGTTCCTACAACCATAATACTCTCTAAAAACAGAAGTGGCTATGGTGGTTGGAGTAACCCTTTTTAACCCAGTGAATGTCTGTACATTCAAGTGCAAAGACAGTAAAAAAAAAAAAAAGAAAATACTTGCACTTACTGAACTCTATTAAAAAAAAGACAGCAGGTACTATAACATGTCAAAGTGATTCTGGTACCTGAAGTGCCCTAGCATCCTTCCAGAGTAAGTAGTCAAATCATTTAAGCGGGGTTTGATAACTTACGTTGGCCTCTAACGCACCCTCCCCTCCCAACAGAAAGTCCTACCACTGAGCTAAGTCCAGCTCTGCAGGGCCAAACAAATTGGCACAGAGAGTGCACAGCTGACTCGAGGCTTACCTCAGAGGGGGCAAACTGGAACCCCTTGGCAGCAAGGAAGGCAGTTTAGTGACCACGGTAACTAAATTACTACTTAAATAGGAGATTGGGGGGAGCATTCCTGGCACCATAACTACTACAGCTGGCTTGAACAGCTACGGGGCTTGAGGAGTTCATTCAATAAAAAGCAAATTGTGGAGTAGTGATAGTTGAATTGCAAATATTTTACAATTAAAGGACCACTCTAGGCACCCAGACCACTTCAGCTTAATGAAGTGGTCTGGGTGCCAGGTCGTTCTAGGGTTAACCCATTTTTTAATAAACATAGCAGTTTCAGAGAAACTGCTATGTTTATTAATGGGTTAAGCCTTCCCCCAAAGCCTCTAGTGGCTGTCTCATTGACAGCCGCTAGAGGCGCTTGCGTGCTTCTCACTGTGATTTTCACAGTGAGAGCACGCCAGCGTCCATAGGAAAGCATTGTAAATACTTTCCTATGCGACCGGCTGAATGCGCGCGCAGCTCTTGCCGCACGTGCGCATTCAGCCGACGGGGCGGATCGGAGGAGGAGAGCTCTCCGCCCAGCGCTGGAAAAAGGTAAGTTTAAACCCCTTTCCAGAGCCGGGCGGGAGGGGGACCCTGAGGGTGGGGGCACCCTCAGGGCACTATAGTGCCAGGAAAACGAGTGTGTTTTCCTGGCACTATAGTGGTCCTTTAACATCAAAAGTGCATTTTAAATGTTTACTAACATTTTGCAATTCACTTGTTAGTCCAACTTGATTCACAGTTTAATGAATAAATCTTCAAGTGTTTCAAGAAAATGTGTTAGAACTGCTCTGTGGTTTTTTTTTCTTTCAGTTTTTCCTTTCCTCATGCCCCTAGAATGATAATGATTATACTCCTCTCCTCTGTGACACTTGTCTTTATTTACATTCATTATCTTTTTGTTGCTTGTGCCGGATCTTAATTCCTGGGTGCCTCCATTTTGTTCTCCTCTCTCCGTGATTTCAGCAGTTTGACTGATGCACTGTGGGTAAATTAGCTTTGCAACTGAAATTAAACTTTTCTTAAGCTCTGCCCATTGCAAACATTTGCCAGAGATCACGCTTCCCATGAGAAAAAGTAGTCCCTACTTTTTTTTTTGTATAACTAATTAAAAAAAAATAATTAAAAAAAAACCCTGAGGTATAAAAAAGGAGTAATTTAAAATAAAATCCTATAAAGTGACAGGGCTGTTTTAATGCCAAAAGTGAACTGTTTTTTTTATTTATGTACTTATGCTTAAAAATTTAAATGTTTAATTTTCTTTTTCACCTGGTATATTCTCATATATAACATAAAATGTAATATTCACCATTCTTTGATCTCCATGGTACATACTGTGAATCCATAGCGTCTAAGATGTCATTATTTCCTTCCAGCTATCACGCTTCCTGCAGAAAGATGCAGAGCAGGAATACCAGATGAGATTTGAAATTCAGACTATGAGACAAGAACTCTCTGCTATCAGTATGATGGACGAGTTTGCAAAATATGCCAGATTGGAAAGAAAAATCAACAAAATGAGCGACAAACTAAAAACCCACGGTAATAATATTACGTTTTAGTAGCCACCTATTAGATGTTGTTTGAAAAGTAATTTTAAAGGGTTACTCCAAGCATTGTAATCACTACAACCCCCTGTGGTGGTTATGGTGCTAAAAGTACCACTTTTCAGTAATCCTGCCCAGCATCGAGTCTGCTCTGTGGCTGTGAGATGCACCCAGCGCCTGCAGAGCCTAAATCCAAAATCCTTTAGCTTTAAATGAGACAGTTATCTCATTCTGTTTGCTGACAAAGCAGGTGAATATGATTTTTTTCATATTTACCCGTTGTCCTTGCACTTTCCATGGGCCAAACCTAGAGGGTCACTGATCTAGCTAATTTGTGTCCTATGGAAAAGTGCATTGCGCATGTGTGACTGTCGACGTTATCAGTGACATTGTGCAATTCCTAGTACAAGCTCCATCAATTTTTACGCATAACCTTGTGTGAACAGCCAACAGTCCCTGCGGATAATGAGCAACATCAATAGAAACATATTAGAGCACAGTGTTCAAGTCACACATGTATACATATATACAGTTCACATGGTTTAAAATTTCCATTCTATATCTCGCAAGTGAATGGGACTTCACGCTCACCAGCAGCCACACTGAGGAGGAAAACTGGTGGGAACTATGGATGCTAGCACCTCAAGTTGTGCTTTAGTTAGTGCAAGAAACGGCAGTTGCACATGTCTTATGCTAAAATGTTGTGTGACAAAACACCAGACATTCTACTTCTGCACAACAGCATGAGCCAAATGCTGAAAAGGGAAAGATATGCCTAAAAATAGGAAACAAACGCATGTATATTGTCAGTGAAGCTAAAGTTTTTGACTTAGACAGTTGTCTCAAAGTGATGCTTGTCCCATTTGGTAAATACAAAAATGCTTTGCCCGTTTGTGCAGAATGAAGCCTGAGTAGCATTTGATTAATTTGAAAAAATAATTTAAAGTATTCACACAAAGTACATTCACAAGCAGATCTCATTAAAGGGTTTCTCCAGACATCCAAAATGCTGAAACTCTACTGCAGGCACCATGAACACTTCAAATCCCTGAAGGGATCATGGTGCTTGGAGTCTGTATGTGCTACGTTTCAGTATGAAAGTTTAACCCCCTTTGCTGCTGGAGGTGTAACTCACATTCGGCTGCATCGTTGGGAGGTAATAAGCCAGCCCGGAACTAGATTTTACCATGGGCAGAATTATTATTATTATTATTATCGCCATTTATATAGCGCCAACAGATTTCCTAGCGCTTTACAATATTATGAGAGATGGGAAACTGCTGTTATTGGTTGAGAACGGTCAACTGAAGCTCTCAGCCAAGTAATGCGAAGCATCCATTGCATTTTGTGTGTAAGTCTCAAGGTGTTGAGATCCCTTGTGAGATTTACTGCTGTCCCTCACAACTTTCTTTGTTGTATAGAGCCCCTTGTTTTCTTTTTATTTTGTATAAGCGAGTGTGTGTTTGGACACAGTGACATAACTTGCAACTTTATTATTTCGTTAGCAGCTGACAGACACCAGGCCATCACTCCCAGAATATCCACAAGAGAAACTAAGCACCTGCTAGGGCCTAGAGCAGGCATAGGCAACCTTCGGCACTCCAGATGTTTTAGACTACACCTCCCATGATGCTTTGCCAACATTATGGGTGTAAGAGCATTATGGGGTTATGTAGTCCACAACATCTGGAGTGCTGAGGGTTGCCTATCCCTGGCCTAGGGGATGAAGTAAGGCAACCTTTTAGGTCCAGGTATGGGCTGATAAAAGATTTAACAATCTCTGATTCAACATTATTATCACTGTGCAATGTACATACAAGGACAATGAAACACATTTAGTGTCTTATCATTTTAGGTGTCAATGCACCCTTTTACCTCGGGAAGTTCCATAATTGAGTTGAGGCAGCAGCTGTTTTGCACAGTATGAGTCTATGACTTTTTACGTGCTTAAATTTTGAAGTCATGTACACCCTGTTAATGATGAAGTGACATCAAGTTTGCACTAGGCATCATTACACAGCATTCAAAGCCTCAATAAAGTGTCTCAAGATCTCTGTGTATTTAGAGTCCGCTTCGTGAGTATCTTTCCGAGTCTTCTGCAACGTCACTGCTAACGGTCCCAACGATGGTACTCCCACTTCCATATATCAGTCTCATTTCCAAAATTCCCAACACAGTCCACTTTTTTTTAAAAATTTTTTTTTTATTTTTCTTGTGCAAAGAATTGACAATCTTGTAAAAAAAAAAAACACAACAGCTCATGTGTGCCTAACTTCCAAACATAGATTAGTAGTGCACAATTTTAAAGGAACACTATAGTCACCTAAATTACTTTAGCTAAATAAAGCAGTTTTAGTGTATAGATCATTCCCCTGCAATTTCACTGCTCAATTCATTGTCATTTAGGAGTTAAATCAATTTGTTTCTGTTTATGCAGCCCTAGCCACACCTCCTCTGGCTATGATTGACAGATCCTGCATGAAAAAAAAAAACTGGTTTCACTTTCAAACAGATGTAATTTACCTTAAATAATTGTATATCAATCTCTAAATTTAACTTTAATCACATACAGGAGGCTCTTGCAGGGTCTTGCAAGCTATTAACATAGCAGGGGATAAGAAAATCTTAATTAAACAGAACTTGCAATAAAGAAAGCCTAAATAGGGCTCTCTTTACAGGAAGTGTTTATGGAAGTCTGTGCAAGTCACATGCAGGGAGGTGTGACTAGGGTTCATAAACAAAGGGATTTAACTCCTAAATGGCAGAGGATTGAGCAGTGATACTGCAGGGGCGTGTTCTATACACCAAAACGGCTTCATTAAGCTAAAGTTGTTCAGGTGACTATAGTGTCCCTTTAAGTTAAAAGACATTGAACGTTCCGCCAGTAAACAAGGGAGCACACATGTTAGACGCATCAGGTTGAGGTGTACTGGCAGGGTAGCAAGACACACAAATAAAATTTAAATTACATGCTTGATATATCTACATATGATAGATATGTAGGGCTTGATATTTTTGCTGAGCCTACAAAAATAGGAGGGGGACCCAGCCCTATGGGTCTTAAATAAAGAAGCAGTAATCGTGTCGTGGAGAAAAAACAGTAATGGGGTCAGTCGGGGGTGTTAACTGTTAAATTACACTCAATAACCCTTGAGCCTTAGGGGGGGTGGGGGGGGATTAGGTGGTTGCTATGTCCTTTGATCAGGGTAGATCTTAGGAGGTGTGATGGCATCTGGAGTCAGGCAGTCCACTTAATTAGTGTCTTCTATGTGTATGCTTACCAATCCACTACGAGTCCTCTCCTCTGTTTATTCTATCAGTACACTCCCTCCATGGTACTCTAATTTTTTTCCTCGGTTTCCGCTAACCATCCCTTCTCAGTCTCTTCAATGAGTACACTCCTTTGGCTCAATTTTGAGTTCATACTTGCACCCTCTGTGTCATTAGCACCAGAATTACACCACTACAATGTTCTCAGCAGCTTGTTTTCTCTTAACCCCTTAAGGACACATGACATGTGTGACATGTCATGATTCCCTTTTATTCCAGAAGTTTGGTCCTTAAGGGGTTAAAAAACAAGTAGAAAGGCACCCAAAACAACTGTAGGAATGGCTGCTTTGATTGTGTCCTTTGTGATTGATCCTGTGCTGCGGTTTCTGTCCGTTAAGTCCTGAATTTTAGCTGCTCCGTAAAAATCACTGACACAGTGGGGAGTTAGTTCTGTTTTCAGTGGAATATTTAGTTTTTAGCTTATATCAGTTGGAAACTGGTATCTCTGAGTTCTTAGTATTCTAAACTTGGACCTCTTATTAACTTTTCCACAATGTTACCAGCAATACCTCTATGCCAAGATCTACGAGACGCACAAATGACCATCTGGGTTTGCATTATCTCTTGGGCAGGAGAGACATCCATTTGCAGAGGGCCAGCTTTGTGTAAAAAAATGAGCCAACATCTGTATGTGATCATTGGTGGTAACCAACTGTAGTACAGGCTAATTAAGCTTTCATCCTTTCTCTGTGAGTGTTTCTTGGGGTCTGTTTAAAACTGTAAGGGCCTATCAAATACATTATTTGAAATATTTGGATTACAGAACAAACAAAACAATATTGACAAATGCAAGCGATGCAAAGGCCTCTGGTCTGATGAGATTACATCTGGCTGTACTATGCATTATCTGGGTTATTTAAACCAAACACGTCTTCACTGTGCAATCAATAAATAGTCCTGCAAGGATCTAGAACAGCATTATAAAATAGCTTAGGGTATACCAGTTTAAAAGTTCTTTTAATGGAATAGGGTAAACTTTATAAAGGTTTAATACATGTATCCCTGTAGGGTGGGCTGAGGAGCCTCTCTTTTGTTCGCACAATGTGAAACTACCTCTAGGCTATTTAGTAGCTGTTAATTAGTTTAACATAGATGTTCTATGGTCCTCTTACAAGATGTTGCTTGGCAGGAAATACAGTTGGGTTATTCAAATCTTGATTTGTTAAGTAAGAAACACAAAGGATTTTTTTTGAATGTGTTTGCATGCAGAGAACCACACTAATTTACCCATATGAATCTACTCGGCTACACTCTATTCTCTCATTGATCATGTAAATGCACATTTGGGAAGGTATGGTAAAAGACTATCAATAGGGATGGGCAACACACCAGGACATCTGATGTAAATCCACGCTCGTTATGCGGTTTTATCAATAGACTATGAGAAAGAACTGGAGAAATAATTGCATAAAGTAACATTACATGTAAGTAAAGTAACTAAACTGATTTCTGTAGTTAACATAGACTCAGAGTGCGTTTCATCAGGGTGTGCACTGAGGGAGGTATTATGTACTTTTTAATGAAAAATTATGTGTAATAATTATGGAATTATGTTTTTTGATGCACTGCACACTTGGCATGCATGCAATAAAAATGCTCTTATTATGAGAAAACACACACTCTTTAAATTATATTCCGATTATCTCCTCTCTTTTCTTGTATGGCCTCTAATACACTGATATCCCAATACATGTATGGATACTCACTGCCTCCTGCAGTGAGAGACATATTTTTCACAATTAATCAATAGGTGATCCTGTGTTTCTTTCCCAGATTTAATCTAAAGAACACCATTGCGCCACACCTGCCTTGCCCCATCTGTGGTGGACACTGTTATCCAATGTGTATCTTTAAAGGATTACAACAGTCCCTTCACTTAAAAGGTTCATTGTAACTCAAATAGCAGGATAAGGTGACTTAGATTCAAGGGCCCCCATTTTTTATTTTAAAAACCAAAACAATTAATATAACGCTTTACTCACCTGCAAACCAGCCAGAGACAGACCCTTCTGGGCAGCCCAGTCTATCTCCCTGATGTCACCGGGCATTTCCTCCAATCCTTGGCTTCTCATAGTGAAGTATTGCGGACAAAGGGCACATGACGCTCCAATTAAATACTTCTCACAGAAAAGCATTGAATCCACTACTTCTCCATTAAGGGCACTAGAGGACTTTTGATGTCCTCAGGCAATGCTTGAAGACATCAAACGTCACAGAACCGAGTCTCACTCTGTTGTTTATCTGGAAGCCACTAGAAGTGTGTTTAATCCCTCAATATAAACATTGCCATATCTTTAAAACAGCAATGTTTCCAATTTGTTGGAAAAAAACGGCAGGGCCACTGCACCCAGAGATGAAGTGATATGGGTGATTACATTTGTCCTTTAAAGATATGTACCATTTGTGCACTAATTAGGTGGCATTTTTTATTTAAACACATTTATTTTCTAAACCAGGAATTGTACCAAATTAAAAACCTAATTGCAAAATAATAAGACTGAAATAGCCTAGCTGTGAGTAAACTTCAGTTGTAGAATTTTACCAGATTGGCAGTTTTTGCCTAATTTTTTTTAAATTCAATTTTCAATTCACTACAATCCAAGTTTTACGAATAATCTCCTAACTTTTACCTCCATCACGTAAGCAAACTAATAAAACAAAAGATTAGTGTCTTTAAAGGGGACCACCAGGCACCATGCCACTACAATTTATTGTAGTGGTTATGGTGTAAATTGTTTTCTGTCAAATTATTTGTGAGCTGTTTAAGAAAAAAAATGAATGTCCAGCAGACACTTCCTGGGAGGGAGGGTCTGCTGCTGATTGGCTGGAATGTGTCTGCTGACTGTGAGGTTCCGGGTCAAAGTGTACTCAATGATGACGAATAGGGGGCGGACCGGAAATCGCATATGTTCCCCCAACGCGAACACGCTATTGTTCCCCGGCGGACAGTTCGCGAACAGTTCGGCGAGCAGTTCGCGACATCTCTAGTCCTTAAGACTTAATTTAAATCATGATTTTTAAACATAAAGACTTATTCTTGCTGCTTGTTGTATTTGTTACTATTTGCAACTATTAGAAGATCTTATGCCTAGAATAATATATTTTTTTTCAGATTAGTTTAACAGTTATATTGGAACTGATTTTGTTATCTAGCATTAGAAATATATAGATAATGATAAAACCATTGCTGAGTAAACTATATCCTGTTTAACAGGTTAATCAATCAAGTTTGGAGAACAACTTAAATTAAAGGTGTTCATTGTGTGTACATAGATTTGCTGGGCAAACAATGGAATTAAGGTTTTTTTCTGAACTTTGTTTATTTTAAACCATTATTGTGCTGTAAAAAAAGTGCATGATATCTCTGCAGGCACAAGTTCAATTAACTTGGATTAATGGAATTAATTTACCAAAAATGTAGCATAAACATACAGCATCATGCTACATAACTAATCACCATTTCATGCTGAATAACCTTTTGGTCTATAATGTATATTAAATAGAAAAATATATTTAGGTAGATTTTTCCTCCAAAATAATTTTATAAAAAATCCAATTTAAATAAAAAATGTTTTCATAAATAATAAAAAAAAAACAGATTTAAAAAAAAAAAATGTATCCACTGCAGTAGGGAATAACTCTGGCGCTGAAAGAATTCCAATTTTTGTGCTTGAAACAAATTTGACAGAAATTGGGGGATGCCACCCAACACTCCGTTATCAGAAAAATGATAAACTGTTATAGGTGTGGTGCTTAGATTATCCCATTAAGGTCAAAATTTTAATTCCAACACAGTTAAAATAAAGCATAAGACAAAGAAGTGGAATTCTTTGTCTTAAGGTAAAATCCCACCTTGACACATCTTGATAAAGGGCAGATCTCTTGTCTGCAGCCTTTACAAGCCCTCCCCTTCTAACACGGCCCAGAATATCTGTGGCTGTCCAATTACAGACTTCCCAATGCAACTCAATGAGAAGTCTTTACTAGGCAGGTGCTCTAGGCACTGCTTCCTCTTGAGTTAAGCTCCAGTGAGCTGACCAAACAAGGAAGTAACATGACAGGTTGTATGATTGACAGTCACGAGGTTGTAAAGGTTAGTTTATAAAAGTGACAATTAGTATTGAAATCTGCACTTTTTATAAAATGAAAAAAGAGGACACACTTTTAACACAAAAAAACACTTAATAGAGCTTACGTGCTTTAGGGGTCTGGGTTGTTCCTTTCATTTTTGGCATTCCAGCACCCCATTATTGTTTCTTTGTTATATGGGCTTCCTAAAATGCCTAAATATGAAGACAATGCAATATTACACGTGCCCAGTCAGTGCCGAGTTAGTAATGTAAGAAACTGAACAAAGCAAAAGTTATAGTAGGCTTGGGAAGTAGTAAAAATATTGGGGAAAAAATGCTTTTCTAGCATGGAAAACAATTTATGCTTATTCCACATCTTCCAACATTATGCCTGCTTTCACATTTAGTGCCAGAATTCTCCTTAAAAGCCAAGTACACTTGGTTCCTCCCAGATTTTAAAGAGACAAAAGGGCAAACAAAGAGGCCAAGGGATATATTAGCACAATAATAGAGTTGATAATCAGTTAAATCCCACTGATTATCTCGGCACCAGCAATTTGGAGCCAGGACCTTGTTTAGTTTAACACCTTCGTTAAAATTCATCATTCTTATTTCTTATTTAAAATGTGAGCACACAATAAGTAATATATATGTATACGTACATATGGTAGAGTAGACATGATCTAAAAGGGATTAAAAACAGACAGACCTAGTGCACCCTGTATGGAACTTATAAAAAATGGAATAAAACTCACAAGTCTAGAGCCGGATCAGGCTCTATAGAATGTGTCCCAAGTTGCCTATTCAGGCATGGATATCCAGAAACACCAGGGATGCAGGAATTGCCAGGATGAAAAACACATTTATTGAATAGTAAAAATAAACAACACTAAATAAACACGGACTACAATAAATATTATGCAGTAAAAAGCAAGCATACAAAAACACTGCTTAAGTCCTGTACTGCAAATTTAAAAGAATCAAGACACATGTGCCAGATCAGCACATTTGGCAGGATATTTAAAGGGGAATCACCCAGGGATTTATCAGCACTGAAGAAGAAGACTAAAGGACATAGTCGAAACATGTCTGCTAGTATTTGAAGTACTGAACCTAAGCAGTGTTTTTGGATGCTTGCCAGATGCTTGCTTTTCACTGCATAGAGATTTTTTTTTTTTTTATTATTCAATTTTTCATAAGTTTCATACATTGTGCACTATGTCTGTTTGTTCTTTTAGTGCTCTGCAGACAATATTTACTCTACTAACCTATATAATATATATTTGTATATACAAGTATTACTTATTGTGTGCTCACTTTTTGGGTATATTTGTTTTATTATATTTGTTTTTTATACACATTTAACAAACTGTGAACACACCTCATTACCATTCTAATTTGGATGCTTTTATACATTTTATCTGCAGTCCATAAATCTATTTATTAAATGGAATATCTAATCACAATAGTCAGTACAGTTTGTTGTAGTTGCAATGGGTACTGTTAGGTTATGGGTGCAAAAACTCTGGTTATTGTCAAACCTTTTCCAAAACTCCTCTAGTGACCTAGGATTTAGGATGTATGTTCCCCAGTTTTTTTCCAATTGAGATTCCAATAAAAGTTGGACTGTTGGAGGTCTTTGTGAACTTGTCTGGGAACCACTGGCCTAGACTACAAATGTCTAGCAAAACACCAATTTTGTCTGCAACAGTTCATCACTGTGCATGAAGTCCACGATTTTGGATTGGGAATGCCTTACTACTTTCCCCAATTTAAAGCTCGATTAACTGCTAAAATTACATTTGTGATTGTTTAATCCGTGTATCTCTACAAGTCTTTTGTTATTCCATGGAGCTTATTAAAACAGGGATGGGCGTTTTCTAATAGAATTGAATGTCTAAGGGAGGCTTCAGAGACTCCAATTCTTGCTCCTATTGAGGTGGTTTTCAGATAAACCACCTTGTTTTCCAGAATCTCAATTGCATTTAAAAGCTGTGGTAAGGCTTACTTTTATTTCAGTGGTTCACAATAAGCCAATAGAGAGAGAGCTTTTGTTAAGCTAGTGCATGCTACACACTTATAGCTATTTAATTGTCACTGTTATATTATCAAAAGCAAAATACATTTTACAGCTGTATTACCATTAGGCTGTTGTCATTGGTCAGTTTAACAGGTTTACTTTTCAGTGTATGTATCTTAGACACATAGAAACATAGAAACATAGAATGTGACGGCAGATAAGAACCATTCGGCCCATCTAGTCTGCCCAATTTTCTAAATAATTTCATTAGTCCCTGGCCTTATCTTATAGTTAGGATAGCCTTATGCCTATCCCATGCATGCTTAAACTCCTTTACTGTGTTAACCTCTACCACTTCAGCTGGAAGGCTATTCCATGCATCCACTACCCTCTCAGTAAAGTAATACTTCCTGATATTATTTTTAAACCTTTGTCCCTCTAATTTAAGACTATGTCCTCTTGTTGTGGTAGTTTTTCTTCTTTTAAATATAGTCTCCTCCTTTACTGTGTTGATTCCCTTTATATATTTAAATGTTTCTATCATATCCCCCCTGTCTCGTCTTTCCTCCAAGCTATACATGTTAAGATCCTTTAACCTTTCCTGGTAAGTTTTATCCCGCAATCCATGAACCAGTTTAGTAGCCCTTCTCTGAACCCTCTCTAAGGTATCAATATCCTTCTGAAGATACGGTCTCCAGTACTGTGTACAATACTCCAAGTGAGGTCTCACCAGTGTTCTGTACAATGGCATGAGCACTTCCCTCTTTCTACTGCTAATACCTCTCCCTATACAACCAAGCATTCTGCTAGCATTTCCTGCTGCTCTATTACATTGTCTGCCTACCTTTAAGTCATCAGAAATAATCACCCCTAAATCCCTTTCCTCATATGTTGAGGTTAGGACTCTATCAAATATTCTGTACTCTGCCCTTGGGTTTTTACGTCCAAGATGCATTATCTTGCACTTATCCACATTAAATGTCAGTTGCCACAATTCTGACCATTTTTCTAGTTTACCTAAATCATTTGTCATTTGGCTTATCCCTCCTGGAACATCAACCCTGTTACATATCTTAGTATCATCAGCAAAAAGACATACCTTACCATCAAGACCTTCTGCAATATCACTAATAAAAATATTAAAGAGAATGGGTCCAAGTACAGATCCCTGAGGTACCCCACTGGTGACAAGTCCAAGCTTCGAATATATTCCATTAACTACAACCCTCTGTTGCCTGTCACTCAGCCACTGCCTTACCCATTCAACAATATTGGAATCCAAACTTAAAGATTGCAGTTTATTGATAAGCCTTCTATGTGCAACAGTGTCAAAAGCCTTACTGAAATCTAGGTAAGCAATGTCTACTGCACCACCCTGATCTATAATTTTAGTTACCCAATCAAAAAAATCAATAAGATTAGTTTGGCATGATCTCCCTGAAGTAAACCCATGTTGTCTCTGATCTTGAAATCCATGTGTTTTAGATGTTCATCAATCCTATCCTTTAACATGGTTTCCATCACTTTCCCCACTACTGAAGTAAGGCTTACTGGCCTATAGTTGCCCGACTCCTCCCTATTACCTTTCTTGTAAATGGCACAACATTCGCTAACTTCCAATCTTCTGGGACTACTCCTGTTAACAATGATTGGTTAAATAAATCTGTTAATGGTTTTGCTAGTACACCACTAAGCTCTTTTAATAGCTTTGGGTGTATTCCATCAGGTCCCATTGACTTATTTGTCTTTACTTTTGACAGTTGAAATAGAACCTCTTCCTCTGTAAACTCACGTGTAATAAATGACTCATTTATCCTTTTTCTCAACTGAGGTCCCTTTCCTTCATTTTCTCTGTAAATACAGAACAAAAATATTCATTGAGGCAGTCAGCCTGACCTTTATCCTCTTCTACATACCTTCCTTCTTTTGTTTTTAATCTAACTAATCCTTGTTTTACTTTTCTTTTCTCATTTATGTATCTAAAAATGTTTTATCCCCCTTTTTTACTGACTGTGCTATTTTCTCTTCTGTGTGTGATTTGGAAGCTCTTATAACTTGCTTAGCCTCTTTCTGCCTAATCTTATAGATCATTTTGTCTCCCTCACTCTGGGTTTTTTTTATAATTCCTAAATGCTAACTTTTTGTTTTTAACTATTTTGGCCACATCTGCGGAGTACCACAGTGGTTTCTTGAATTTTTTGCTTTTACTGACAAGCCTAATGCAATTTTCTGTTGCCTTCAATAGTGCAACTTTTAAATAATCCCATTTTTCTTGGACTCCATTTAAATTGCTCCAGTCTGATAATGACTCCTCTACCCATATTCTAATTTTAGAAAAGTCTGTTTTTCTAAAGTCTAAAACTTTTGTTTTTGTGTGGTGTGACTCAGTCACTGTTCTTATATTAAACCACACTGACTGATGATCACTGGATCCTAAACTTTCACCTACAGTAACATCTGATACCAAATCTCCATTTGTTAACACTAAATCTAGTATGGCCTCTTTACGAGTTGGCTCCTCAACAACTTGTTTTAGAGACAATCCCAGTAGGGAGTTTAGAATATGTGTGCTCCTGGCACAAGTAGCTAATTTTGTTTTCCAATTTACATCAGGAAGATTAAAGTCACCCATGATGATAACTTCCCCCTTCATTGTCATTTTAGCTATTTCCTCAACTAGTAGATTATCTAACTCTTCAATTTGTCCTGGGGGCCTATAAATCACACCTACACGAGTTACTGTGTGATTACCAAATTCTAACGTAGCCCAAACGGACTCTATGTTTGCCTCACTAACTTTTATTAGGCTAGATTTTATGCTATCCTTCACATACAAGGCCACCCCTCCCCCTTTCTTGCCTTCCCTATCTTTCCTATATAAAGAGTACCCTGGTATTGCTATGTCCCAGTCATTTTTCTCATTGTACCATGTCTCAGTAACAGCGACTAAATCTACACTATCAGTTGCCATTATTGCCACAAGTTCATGGATCTTATTCCCTAAACTGCGAGCATTTGTAGACATGACTCTAAGCTTATCATTTTTTAACACACTTGCTACAGGCACCTTCTGTCCTTGTTTTGGGGGACATTTGGATTGATGTTTTATCACCCTTTTGCCCCCCCCTCCTAGTTTAAATACATCCTAGTATATCGCTATGAGGAAAGTTCAGTGTCTCCATGCAGAGGGTGTAGATTCTAAATGGCAGTGCAGCCCATTGTGCAGCACTGCCCCAGGAAGCACCTCTAGCAGCACTCTAAGGAGGTGCAAGTGGAGGTATCCCTAGGCTGTAATGTAAACACTGCATTTTCTGCAATAAGCTGTAGTTATTCTGGTGACTATAGTCCATTTAAACCCAGCCACTCTATGGGCTGCTAATACAGACTTTATATTTCTTTGTTGCGAAACTGGGACTGTGTATTTAGTTTTATTTCTATATTGTGAAAGGCAAACAGATTATGGCACATAGACTCACAAACCTAATTATGCTGGGCCCGTACCTATAGCCTTTTTCAGGCTGAAATTCCATTGAAGGGTTGTGGACACAACTTGAAACAGCTCTGGAAAGCAAGTGATCAGTAATTCAATTTTTTTTACGTGAGTTGTATGTAGTATATATATCATTATGAATAGATCACGGTAACTATTTAGTCACTCTGGGCATACCCGAGGTACCCTTAAAATGTAGCTGATCATTTCAAACAACTAAAAATTCTGCAACGTGTGAATTTGATTGACTTTAGTTCAAACTTTACTATATTAACTTATTGTGGAAGAATAAATTAAGGGTTCCCAAGAACTTATACGGGAATAGCATTAGCTATCATTTTTCTACTTTATGTTCAATGACGTTTGTCCTTACTTTTTATATTTCTTTTTTGTTGGGTAGTTAAAGGATATGCCTATAGATTTCGAAATATTAAAAATGTGCACATTATAACCGTTAAATATTTGAAAATCCAAGACCAATTTACAGTTTCGAGTAGTACTCTACATAAAGAGTGTTATAATAAATGTCAGCTTATGTTGGTCATACGCTATGAATGAACAGTGCAAGCAGCATGTTTTAAAAATTCCTTATAAAGGTTTTGCCTGGAGGAAAATAGTACAAATTTATCAAGTCAACTACTGCCATAATCAAAGAGTTGTATGGGGATTGTATGACACAGTATTTCAATAAATGTCAATTTAAGCAGTGGGAAAAAGTAGAGGAAGGAAAAGAGAGAGAAGAAAGGTAGAGATAAAGGGGAGATGACAATGGACAAAATACAGTAAAATAAAAGGATGTAACTCAACAAGGAGAGAATGCCATTTTTGAGAAACTTACAAGGATTAGGGGTTTTCCCTACCCAGATGGGGAGAAAAAAAAAGCACTAAGGGTAGCCCTGTACAATATGTAGGGGTGCAATGCAGACTTGTCTAGCAATTATGCTAAGTTGCCGGTTTAATTCCTGAACACTCTGGGTTTGAAGGAAGTTTGTTAAATTGATATTGGAAATTACTGTCAAGCCTTCATAAGGGCCCTAACTACATTGGATCCAAAAAGATATGCAAGACGGCTTCCATAGAGAGTTGGTGTTGTCATCATGGAATTTTAAAGGTAAGTCCGAGGACAATGGCCTTGTGTGGTTGTCAACAAATAATGCCACGAATTGTCATGTTGCAAGTATTGCGGTCTTGTTTGTGTTGTGCACAACTAAATAACATTGCCTCCATGTAGAAATGGCCTTCACACATCGAGAAGACACAATAGAATGCAGGGACATGCTTGGGTCCAGTAGATCAATAGTTACTAACATCTTTTGACCACGGCACATTTTGATAAGACAACCGTTTTCATAGCAAACCTACTCTATTCTTTTTTCTTTTTACATTTATCAGCAGCTAATGAATGCAACATTTTCTTGAAGCCTTACTTCAGATATGCATCGAAAACTGACTCATTAATTTTAATTACCTGATGGGAATCCCAATTTTAATGCTGCCAATTATTGAAAAAAAAAAAAAACAACAAAAGAAAAACAAACAAATTTCAAGGACCTGTATTCAATCTCTTACAGCCCTACAGTGTTCTGAAAAGTGCCTATTAAATTCTGTCATTATTTTAATTTTAATTTTTTTCAATAAAATTTTCTTCATTGTAAATTTCGCTTGTATTCCCAGAGATTTCTAGTTTAGAAAGTCAAAATGTAGTGTGGCAGAAAATAGAGCAATGATGCAGAACACTTTTTTGTCAGAAAAGATGGCGGAAAGATTGATAAATCTGTTGTCAATGCTAGAAAATGGCATATATTCAGAAATGACTGTTAGGGCCCAAAATACTGTGATAACAGTCAAACCTACCTTTTTTTATCATCCAGGGTGCTTTTTCCCCTTAAGGCATAAATCAAAAAGCAAACAGAAACCTACTCCTTTTAGGAGGCTTACTAAACAGAGGTATTTCATTTCTAACTGTACTGGCCAACTAAGCTGGTTACCAGTCACAAAACAATGATTGAACAGCATGATGTTTTTCTTACCACTCTATGTCTTTGATCAGCAGTCTAGTGAGAAAATCTCAGCAGGCTAAATTGGACTGGGCTGTGTTAATTAAAGGACCACTATGGTGCCAGGAAAACAAACTCGTTTTCCTGGCACTGTAGGGTCTTTAGGTTCCCCCCACCCTCAGTGTCCCACTCTCGCTAGGCTGAAGGGGTTAAACACTTACTTTTCTCCAGCGCCGGGTTCCCTTGGCGATGGGGAACTCTCCTCCTCCCGACGACAGTGCTGAATGCGCATGCGTGGAAAGAGCTGCGTGCGCATTCACACAGTCTATAGGAAAGCATTTCTCAATGCTTTCCTATGAACGTCCAGTGTCTTCTCACTGTGATTTTCACAGTGAGAAGCGCGGAAGCGCCTCTTGCGGCTGTCAGTGAGAAACCTGGGGGACCTGGCACCCAGACCACTTCATTGAGCTGAAGTGGTCTGGGTGTCTATAGTGGTCCTTTAAAGGGATACTATATTGTTAGGAATAAAAATTTGTATTCCTAACACTATGGTACTCTCTGCCTCACCCCTCACTCACAGCCCCTTGGCCAATAAAGGGTTAAAAACCCTTTTTCACTTACCTGATTCCACCGCTGATGTCCCTCGGTGCTCCGCCTCCTACAAAGTTATCCAACGGGGGATCTAATTTGCATGCGCACAAGCGCATTAGACTGTCTCCATTGAAAAGCATTACTTTAATGCTTTCCTATTGGGATTTCACTGACACTGGATGTCCTCGTGCAGAGCGTGAGGACGTCCACCGTTGTTTGGGTGACACAGAGTCCGGTTAACACCCGGAGGCACCTCTAGTGGCTGTCTGGAAGAAAGTCACTAGAGGCAGACTTAGTTCTGTAATGTAAACATTGCAGTTTCTCAAAAACTAAAGGGGACAGGAACAGTGCACCCAGACCACTTCAATGAGTGTGTCCCTTCAAGTAGCAGCTGAAACTGCTACAAGTAAGTATTAACCCTAGAACCAGGGAAAACATGCACTTTTAATACCCTGGGTTGTGTACAGTTGCAATCAAAATGATTTAACCCCATGGAAAATCAGATTTGTTGTAAAAATGTACAGACTTTCAGCTGTTTGCAATGAACAAATCAAACAAAAGCAATTGAAATAGCTCAACACAGCAAATGCTTCAAGTGGTTTCCCCAAATTCAACTGAAAATGCAACTAATAATGACTTCTCCAGTCTCAAAATTATTCGACCCCTTCATGGCAAGCATCTTTAGTACTTAGTAGAGCACCCTTTTGCTGTTATGAGCTGCTGAAAACAAGATGCATAGCCATACAACAGCTTCTGGCACTGTTACTGAGGAATCAAAGCCCAATTGTAAGCCCATTGCTTATGAGCGATGGACTCTAGTTCAGTAATATTCTTGGGTTTGCGTGCTGCAACCGCCATCTTCAAATCCCACCAGAGATTTTCTATGGGGTTTAACTCAGGTGACTGAGATGGCCACCGTAGAATTTTAAAGGACTTCATCTGCAAAGAAGCCTTGATGGAATTTGAGGTATTCTTGGGATCATTGTCTTGTTGGAAGGTCCAATGACACCCAAGCTTCAGCTTCCTCACAGACGGCATTATGTTTTCTCCCAGGATTTTTTTTGATACTTAAATTAATCCATCTTGCCTTCCATACCGCACTTAACTGTAGGCCATATTTCTAACATGCAGTCAAACATGACACTCAACAAACCCCTAGCCAGTTCAGGTATTTCAAGTGCTCCAAACACACCTGGTGCAACTAATGAAACCTTTGCTTAGTTGCATGCATCAGGTGTGCTTGAGACAGCACTTGTTTTGCATATTGTGAGGAATTCTATTCAAGGGGTTGAATCATTTCGAGACTGGAGAAGTCATTATAAGTTGCATTTTCAGTTGAATTTGGAGAAAACACTTGAAGCATTTTGTTGTGTTGAGCTATTTCAATTGCTTTTGTTTTAATTTGTTCATGGCAAACAGCTAAACGTCTGTACATTTTAACAATAAACCTGGTTTTCAATGATTTTCAATGGGGGTTGAATAACTTTGATTACAACTGTACCTGACCTTATTAACCTGTGCCCAGTGACACTGTCACACAACATATAAAAACCCAACAGATTCAGTGAATTGTTCCCAAAAATTTCAGAAAATTAGACAAATGTCTTCCCGACACTTTTACTGGAACTCATGGAGAATATATATATATAAAATTAGTTAGTTTGGTTATTTGCAATTGATGTGTTATTGCTCAATGGATAGTTTGATTTACTGATATATACTTTATATGTTTTTATTAACAGTAAAAGCCAGAAGTGCACAGCTAGCAAAAATCAAGTGGGTTGTTAGCATTGTATTCTATGTAATACAGGTAAGTGAATTTTGCATTGTTTTTTTTTATATATTGGTAATAACTCTGTAATACTTTTTATGCAAACAGATTTATTGTTATTACGTTTTTATCATATATAATCAAGCCTTAACTTAACTCAGTAAATGGGCGGATCAAATACTTACTTAGCATATCCCTTTCTAATTAGCCCAGCCATAACTAATAGGTATCTGTCCAGTTGTTGCTGACTTACATGATCTTCAGCTACCGTTTGGCTGTGCACATGTTAGCTGGGGATTACGGGTATTGTAGTTAAGTAACAGAAAGGTACCACTACTAGCTGAGAGCATATGGATGCTGTATGGTATGCACACATGGTATTATTAGCAAGTATGTCAATGTGTAGATTTGACCTACACCCAACTTCTGACTTGAAAGGGGACAGAATGTGAGTATGTGTTTAGCCTCACTCCAAGTTTCTTATTCCCCTCTCCATTTCCAGACTCTGTTTATATTAAATCCTGTGCTTTCCAATTACGGGGCCGGTGCTATCTCTTTTTCTTTGGATTTCCTATCCTGGAATAGAAAGCATGATCTGTGCCTCTGATGCTCCTAGGTATAATACTCTAGCTTTGTAGTAATGTGCTTCATTTATTTCCTTGATATCTGGAAACATAAATTTGATTTTTTTTGTATGCTGCTGCTCAGTGACCCCCATTAAAATATGGACCCTATCACTGGAAAGCGTGGAACAAATACTATACTAAACATATGTATTTCATCCTTTCGGGTGTAACAAACATCTTGTGTGCTAGTAATGTGGATTCTATTATTATTATTATTATTGGCATTGATATACTGCCAACTTATTCCGTAGTGCTTTACAATATTATAAATAAGAAATTTAACAATAAATGAGACAATTACAAAATGTTACAGGAACAATAGGTAGTATGTTGATTAGGACCCTGTTCTCAAGAGCTTACAGTCTGGTTTTATGTCATATAACATCTAACCACCAAAACCACTTTAGCTTAATTGTGTGTTTTTTTGTGTGCATAGATCATTCACTGCTCAATTATTTGCTATTTAGGGATAAATCACTTTATTTCTGCAGCCCTAGGCACACCTCCTTTGGCTTTGACTCACAAAGCCTCCCTATACACTTCCTGAAAAGACGTGTTCATTTAGAACCTATTTTAGCAGCATGCATTTGCTATAGAAGTTATTTCCTTTGCTATGTTAATTGTCAAGTGCAAAGCAGCTGTGGTGTTAAAAGAAATCTTAGATAGTTAAAAAAAGAGTAAGACGATATAAAAATTTCTAATGACCATTTTCATGAAAACATAAAAAATCTTCGGGACACCAGAATTTTTTTCATTTGTAAAACATGTGCTCTATATAGTGTACCGGTAGTTTGTTTTAAGCTGCATGCTACAACAACAGGTTGGGTGATAACTGCTATGCTAATACGATTTGTAAACGAAAACAAACACATCAGACAGCATTAAAGTGTTGTAATGTTGCACTAACAAAATATGTGTGAAATCAAATTGAACAATTCTAACATTTTGTTTCATGGGTGATATAACATGGCTCTTGAAACAGCCTACATCTTAGCAATGTGTTTACAGATCTTGTGAATGTAAAATTTAAAAGCAACTGGCTGTACAGCATAGAGAAATATGCTGAAAAGTAAATCTAGTAAAATTAAAATTAACAGTATCAGAGGGATCTGTCCTTCGTGAGGGCCACCATCTTGATCTGTTGCATCCTCCTGAGCTTTGAGTACATCACTAGAGGATCCTGCAAGACCACTGGATTCTCAGTAAAGATAGCCAACTTTTTAGGTTCAAGGTGCCCTTAATATTTCAATATTTTTCCAAGGCGCCCCAAGTCAAAGTTTCTAGGTCATATATCTGTACAGCGCTGTGGCATATGCTGGTGCTATAATGTATGGTGTTTGAAGGGGTGCTTGTATACAGTTTTAGTGTTTTAGTACAGGGGTGTGTTTGTATGTAATGTTTGCATTTGATTGCAGAGGTGTGTTTAAGTGTAATTTTTAAATGCGGATGTGCATTTGTATGAAGTATTTGTATTTGAGTGAAAGGGTGTGCTTGTATATCATTTTGGAGTTTGAATGCAGGGGTGGGTTTGCATATAATTTGTGTTAGATTGCAGGAGTGTGTTTGTATGTTGTTCTGGTGTTTGACTGCTTGGATGTATGCACATACACTACCACATACATACAGATATACATGCACATTAACATACAGATACATATATATACACCAACACATACAGGGGCGGACTGAGAGCCTTTGGGGCCCCCGGGCAAAATTAGATCCCAGGCCCTTTGAAGGCCAAATATATGTGCATTAAATAAATGTTAAATATAACTCATAAAACGGCATTCCTTTGGATGTGTATATTGCGAAGACCTGTGTATCAATGCATGTTTGTATTTGAGTCTGTGTGAATGCACTTGTGCATGTCTGGATGACTACATGTGCTTTTTTGTATATAGTGTCTGTGTGAATGCATATGTGACAGGTGACAGAGTGTGTGAGGGAGAAGGTGACAGGTGGAAGAGTGTGGGAGGTTGTGACAGGTGGCAGAGTGAGGGGGTACCTGGTGGCAGAGTGAGGGAGGGAGGGGTTGAGTGGTGGCAGAGTGAGGGGGAGACACAGTGAGTGGGGGTGACTGGTGACAGAGTGAGGGAGTGGGTGACTAGTGACAGAGGGATGGAGAGGGGGTGACTAGTGACAGAGTTAGGGAATGGGTGACTAGTGGCAGAGTGAGGGAGGAAAGAGATGACTAGTGGCAAAGTGAGGGAGGGAAGAGGTGACTAGTGACAGAGTGAGGGGATGACTGGTGACAGAGTGAGGTAGTGACTAGTGACAGAGTGAGGGAGGGGGTGACTGTCACTAGTCACCCCATCCCTCTCTCTGTCACTAGTAACTCCCTCCCTAACTCTGTCACTGTGTCACCCGCTCCCTCACTCTGTCACTAGTCACCCCCTCACTCACTCTGTCACTAATCACCCCCTCTGTGCCTAGTCACCCCCTTCCTCACTCTGTCAATAGTCACCCCATTCCTCTCTCTGTCACTAGTCACCCCATCCCTCTCTCTGTCACTAGTCTCTCCCTCCCTAACTCTGTCACTGTGAAGGAAGGGGTGACTGGTGACAGAGTGAGGGGATGACTGGTGACAGAGTGAGGGAAGGGATGACTAGTGGCAGAGTGAGGGAAGGAAGGGATGACTGGTGACAGAGTGAGGGAATGACTGGTGACAGAGTGAGAGAGGGGGTGACTAGTGACAGAGTGGGTGACTAGTGACAGAGTGAGAGAGGGGGTGACTAGTGACAGAGTGAGGGAGGGAGTGGGTGACTAGTGAGAGTGAGGAAGGGGGTGACACAGTGAGGAAGGGGGTGACACAGTGACAGAGTGAGGGAGGGGGTGACTAGTGACAGAGTGAAGGAGGTGGTGACTGTCACTAGTCACCCCATCCCTCCCTCTGTCACTAATCACCACCTCCCTCACTCTGTCACTAGTCACCCCTTCCCTCCCTCACTCTGTCACTAGTCACCCCCTCCCTCTCTCTGTCACTAGTCACCCCCACCCTCTCTCTGTCACTAGTCACACCCTCTCTCACTCTGTCACTAATCACACCCTCCCTCACTGTCACTAGTCACACCCTTCCTCACTGTCACTAGTCACACCCTCCCTCTCTGTCACTAGAGTGAGGGGGTGACTAGTGACAGAGTGAGGGAAAGGGTGACTAGTGGCAGAGTGAGGGAAAGGGTGACTAGTGGCAGAGTGAGGGAAGGAAGGGGTTACTAGTGACAGAGTGAGGGGATGACTGATGACAGAGGGAGGGAGGGAGTGGGTGACCAGTGACAGAGGGAGGGAGGGAGTGGGTGACTAGTGACAGAGGGAGGGGGTGACACAGTGACAGAGTGAGGGAGGTGGTGACTGTCACTAGTCACCACCTCCCTCACTCTGTCCCTAGTCACCCCCTTCCTCACTGTCACTAGTCACCCCTTCCCTCCCTAACTCTGTCACTAGTCAACCCCTCCCTCAATCTGTCACTAGACACACCCTCCCTCACTCTGTCACTAGAGTGAGGGGGTGACTAGTGGCAGAGTGAGGGAAGGAAGGGGTGACTAGTGACAGAGTGAGGGAGGTGGTGACTGTCACTAGTCACCACCTCCCTCACTCTGTCACTAGTCACCACCTCCCTCTGTCAATACTCCTTCCCTCCTTCTGTCACTAGTCACCCCCTCCGTCCCTTACTCTGTCACTAGTCACCCCCTCCCTCACTCGGTCACCAGTCATCCCCTCCCTCTGTCACCTGTTACGCTCTCACTCTGTCACTAGTCACCCCCTCACTTTAGTGACAGAGTGAGGGAGGGTGGGACTAGTGACAGAGAGAGGGAGGGGGTAACTAGTGACAGTAAGGAAGGGGATGACTAGTGACAGTAAGGAAGGGGGTGACTAGTGACAGAGTGAGGGAGGGGGTGACTAGTGACAGAGTGAGGGAGGGGGTGACACAATGACAGAGTGAGGGAGGGGGTGACAAGTGACAGAGTGAAGGAGGTGGTGACTGTCACTAGTCACCCCATCCCTCCCTCTGTCACTAATCACAACCTCTCTCACTCTGTCACTAGTCACCCCTTCCCTCCCTCACTCTGTCACTAGTCACCCCCTCCCTCTCTCTGTCACTAGTCACACCCTCCCTCACTCTGTCACTAGTCACACCCTCCCTCACTCTGTCACTAGAGTGAGGGGGTGACAGGTGACAGAGTGAGGGAAGGGGTGACTAGTGACAGAGTGAGGGAGGTGGTGACTGTCACTAGTCACCACCTCCCTCACTCTGTCCTTAGTCACTCCTCCCTCTGTCCCTAGTCACCCCCTCCCTCTCTGTGTCACTAGTCACACCCTCCCTCACTCTGTCACTAGAGTGAGGGGGTGACAGAGTGAGGGAAGGGGTGACTAGTGGCAGAGTGAGGGAAGGAAAGGAAGGGGTGACAGAGTGAGGAAGGGGGTGACACGTGACAGAGTGAAGGAGGTGGTGACTGTCACTAGTCACCCCATCCCTCCCTCTGTCACTAATCACCACCTCCCTCACTCTGTCACTAGTCACCCCCTCCCTCTCTCTGTCACTAGTCACACCCTCCTTCACTCTGTCACTAGTCACCCCCTCCCTCACTCTGTCACTAGAGGGGATGACTGGTGACAGAGTGAGGGAGGTGGTGACTAGTGACAGAGAGAGGGAGGTGGTGACTGTCACTCTGTCCCTAGTCACCCCTCCCTCTGTCACTAGTCACCCCCTTCCTCACTCTGTCACTAGTCACCCCTTCCCTCCCTAACTCTGTCACTAGTCACCACTTCCCTCCCTCACTCTGTCACTAGTCACCCCCTCCCTCACTCTGTCACTAGAGTGAGGGGGGTGACTAGTGACAGAGTGAGGGAAGGGGTGATTAGTGGCAGAGCGAGGGAGGTGGTGACTTGACTGTCACTAGTCACCACCTCCCTCTGTCACTACTCCCTCCCTCCTTCTGTCACTAGTCACCCCCTCCGTCCCTTACTCTGTTACTAGTCACCCCCTCCCTCACTCGGTCACCAGTCATCCCCTCCCTTTGTCACCAGTCACCCCTTCCTTCCCTCACTCTGCCACTAGTCACCCCTTCCCTCACTCTGTCACCAGTCATTCCCTCACTCTAGTGACAGAGTGAGGGAGAGGGTGACTAGTGACAGAATGAGGTAGTGATTAGTGACAGAGTGAGGGAGGGAATGGGTGACTAGTGACAGAGTGAGGGAGGGGTGACTAGTGACAGGGGAGGGTGACTAGTGAGGGAGGGTGTGACTAGTGACAGAATGAGGTAGGGGGTGATGGTCACTAGTCACCTCATCCCTCCCTCTGTCACTAGTCACCCACTCCCGCACTCTGTCACTAGTCACCCCCTCCCGCACTCTGTCACTGTGTCACCCCATCCCTCCCTCTGTCACCCCATCCCTCCCTCTGTCACTGTGTCACCCCATCCCTCCCTCTGTCACTAGTCATCCCCTCCTTCACTCTGTCACCAGTCACCCCCTCCCTCTGTCACTAGTCACCCTCTCCCTCACTCTGTCTAGAGTGAGTGGGTGACTAGTGACAGAGTGAGGGAGGGAAGGGGTGACAGAGTGAGTGAGGGAAGGGGTGTCTAGTGACAGAGTGAGGGAGGGGGTTAGTAGTGACACAGTGGGGGGGATGCCTAGCGACACAGTGGGGGGATGCCTAGTGACACAGTGGGGGGATGCCTAGTGACACAGTGAGGGGGGTGACTAGTGACACAGTGAGGGGGGTGACCAGTGACACAGTGAGGGGGGTGACCAGTGAAACAGTACGGGGTGACTAGTGACAGTGGGGGTGACTAGCGACAGTGAGAGGTGACTAGCAACAGAGTGAGGAGGGGTGACTAGTGACACGGGGGGGTGACTAGTGACAGTGGGGGGGTGACTAGTGACAGTGGGGGGAGGTGACTAGTGACAGTGGGGGGGGGTGACTAGTGACAGTGGGGGGTGACTAGTGACAGTGGGGGGTGATTAGTAACAGTGGGGGGTGATTAGTGGGGGGAGGGTGATTGCTGACAGTGGGGGAGGGTGATTGAGTGACAGTGGGGGGTGACAGTGGAGGGTGCGATTGGTGACGGGGGAGGGTGATTGGTGACGGGGGGTGACTGGTGACGGTGAGGGGTGATTGGTGACAGTGGGGGGAGGGTGATTGGTAATGGGGGTGACAGTGCTGGGGAGGGGTGATTGGTGACAGTGGGGGGTGATTAGTGACAGTGGGGGGTGACGGTGGGAGGGTGATTAGTGACAGTGGGGGGGTGACTAGTGACAATGAGGGGGGGTGATTAGTGACAGGGAGGGGGAGGGGAGGGTGACTAAAGCCTACCTGTCTATCTGCTTCCTCTTCTGCTCTCCCTGGCTGCTGCTCCTTCCCCTCATCGAGCTCTGTGTGTGAGAGGAGAGTACAGGAAGTGATGTCACTTCCTGGCCCCGCCTCTCCTATCACACAGAGCACCGCGCGGGAGAAGGAGAAGGAGACCTGGCAGAGAGCTGGAGAAGCTGCCAGGTCTCATGGAAGGGAGGGGGGGTGGTGGTTGCTGGGGCCCCGCGCTGCATCAGGGGCCCTAGCAACCCATTGAAGGAAATTATTATTATTTTTTTTTTTTTTGCTGTTCCAGTTGGAGAGATCTCTGATCTCTCCAGCTGGAGCATGGCTGTGCGGCCGGGCCCCTGACTGCCTCGGGCCCTCGGTCCATGACCGATATGCCCGAGTGGTCAGTCCGCCCCTGAACACATACACACACATAGATACACACACTAGCTGGCACATACACACATACATCGACATATACACACAAAAATGCATACTCAGACACACAGATACATGCACCCTGACACACACAAACACTGACACATGCACATACCATGACACAGATACACACACTGACATAAAACCACACACCCTGACACACTGATGCACCCTCTAACACACAGATGCACATACACCGATGCACATCCTGACACACAGATGTGTGCTCATACAGATAACACACAGAAACACACTGACATATATACACACACACGTGCACACACACTCACAATCTGACATAAACAAATGCAGGTGATGTTTTTTATATCTGCAGCCACCCTCCTGTTAGCTTAACTTGGGTGGCTTGATTGGAGTCTGGTCCTGCTGCTGGGTGAATTGAGTGAGGGGTCTGGAGCAGCTCTTCGTGCTCCTCTACCCTCATGCTGCCTCTGTAGCTGCCTCCTCTCCCTCCCGCTGTCTCCCTGCATGAAGATGGGAGGAAGTGACAAGCTGTCACTCCCTCCTAGCCTGCCGACACTACAGAATCCAGTCGCGGTCTTAAAAGGCTATGGCACCCGACCAGGCCACTGTTCAGCAGCAATGTTTCCAGGTGCTATAATAATAATAAAAAAGGTGTAACCCTTTATATGTGAAATTCTGTTTGAATTCACTTTGAATTTTCGCTTTAGTAAATAACCCTTACATCACATTGTCCCTAAAAAGTTCTATAAAGAAGATGGTTTTGCGGAAATCAACAAGTCCGCCCTATTTTTCTTCTGGATACATTGCGGTAACAGCAGGCTGGAGGTCCCCACAGGCATGCGAATACTGAACAGCCAACCTTTGCGATAGCATGTCTTTCACGGGCAGCTATAGTCGGCATTTTCAGATATAACGATAATAGCGGCATGTACCATTCTGTTTCTGTTCATACTTGAGGCTTCCAGTAACAGCTTTATATGTCAGTGAGACTCCTTAGTACTGCTTGACTGGCTGTACCATTAGTGACCGATTATCCCTGGCTGCAGCAATGTGTGACGAGATTAACTGTTACTGGCCTACCACCAGGGGAAGAGTTGGGGGTGATAGGTTTAAAACTGTAATTCACGCCTTGCAGTATACCTTCCAAATATTAATTAACATCCTAGACATATTTGGAATTATCAATCAGACCTAAGGATGTGCATGGGCAGAAAATTTGGTTCGAGCGGCACTTCCGAAATTCGGGACCTCAGCACTTCGGTTCGCTTCTGGACTTTGGCAATTTGGGACTTTAGCAATTCCCTGACCATAACCCTACTCCTAACCCTACCCCTGTCATCATTCACGTAATTTTCCCTCCCTCTCTTGTTTTGCCACTTTTCAGCACTTCGGAAATTCGGCACTTCGGACATTCGGAAGCATCCAAATGTCCAAATTGCCCGAAAGTTGTCCGAATTCACATTCGGACTGAAACAAATTTCACATGTCTAATCAGAACTAATAATCCAATCTGTTTTTTTGAGTTATTTTACTTTAGTTGTACTTGCAAAGAAATGAAAACACGTTTTTTCGCCTCTATTTTTTAATACGGAATATTGTGTTCTAGATGCATACAATGTATCTGAAAAAAAAGCTCTAAAAGCTACTTTTAAAAACTATATTATGTATGAGTGAACTGTAAGAGAATGCTTCATATTGTGGTGGAATGAACATGTAGCAAAATTGCCAAAAAATCTTCAGTCACAAATGCATGTTTAGGCATAGCCCCGGTCAATATTATATGGGATACTACGTTTAAGGTGCGTATGTGTGTGTCACACCAGTTATGCAGCAAATCACTGTGAGAGCTCAGCGCTCTCAAAAGTGAGCCTGTATATATGATGTCTCTTAAATTCTGTCTCTTACCATTGATAATTATTTATGATCACATTGTTGTTATACCCAAGTCTTAAGAAAACGTTATTGCATTGGAAGTGAAAACCAATGTCCATTTTAAGAAGAACAATGTCTGTTTGTGCGCAATGACATGCCATTCATTGCCTAAGCTTCAGCCTTTAAGAGGTTAATATTGTATGAATCAAAACAAGCATTTAAGGGCACGGTAAGAATTAACAGTAGCTTGAAGAGAAGCTATCTCATAATAGCTCAGCTGGGGGAGCTGGTCATCAGCTTGTTCAATGCTTGTTGCTGAAACACTTTTGTTTTACAGTGAAATATAAGGTAATTAAATATTTGTCAAGATTAACCAAATTGTAATATTTTTAGGCTTCCCCCTGCTTTTAGATCAGGGGTAGGCAACCTTTGGCACTCCAGGTGTTTTCAACTACATCTCCCATAATGCTCTCACAGCCAAAATGCTGGCAAAGCATCAAGTAAGATGTAGTCCACAACATCTGTACTAGATTATCCCTCTTACTTACCTACCAAGTGTCCCAATATCCGAGGTAAAGTCCCTAGTCTGGGCCCATATCCCTCTTTTCTATCCTAATGTTACTCTTTTTTTAGTAACAAAGTATTCTTGGTGTGTCTGAATGTATAACAGAGCTTCACAGCAATAATGCAGTAATGTGTCTTTAAATTACAATAAATATATTTAGAAACCTGTTTATGCAAATAAGACACAATGTTCTTGTTGTAAATGACATTTTAGTTGAACAAATTGTTAGTGGTAAGTCACCTAACACTTCTGAGAACAGCTCCGCTCAGAACACACTTTTAAAATGTTAGTGTCCCTCTTTGTCCATTTAAAATGCTGGGAGATATAGTGTGTCATATGTGGAGGAATAAAATAGCTGAATTTTGTCAGGTTAATCAGACTTATTTTAATCCTCTCAGTGTTATGGAGTTCCACAACACGTTATTGCTGCTGTTAATGCTATTCAGTATTGGCGGTTAGTGATCCAGAGTCTTCTATACCTGTGTCTCAACTCTGATAACCACGTCACTGTATGTGACATGAAGGGTTTGGAATGTGGGCATGTTCAGGATGGTGGATGTTGGTGGAGAGGGATGTTGGTGGATATATGAGCAGCCACTGACATGTGATGTGAATAACACTGATTATAATGTTACAATGGCACCAGTCAAGAGGTGGGATATATATAATAGGCAGCAAATGAAAAGTCAGTTCTTGAATTCTATGTGCTGGAAGCAGAAAAAATGGGCAAGCAAATAGATCTGAGTGACTTTGACAAGGGTCAGATAGTGATAGCTAGATGACGCAGTCAAAGCATCTTCAAAGCAGAAAGTCTTGCGGCGTGTTCCTGGTATGTGGTTTAGGATCTACCAAAAGTGGGACATGGAAGGACAAATGATGAACCAGAGTCAGGGACGCCCAAGGTTTATTAATGCACGTGTAGAGCAAAGGCTGGCTGGTCTGATCTGATCACAGAGAAGAGGTACTGTAACTCAAATTGCTGTATAATAGTGTCCATAATAGGAAGGTGTCGTAACACTCAGTACATCGCAGGTTATTGTGTATGGGGCTGTGTAGCTGCAGAGCGGTAAGAGTGCCCATGTTGAATTCTGTCCACCACCAAAAGTGTCTTCAATGTGAACGTGAGCGCCAGAACTGGACCATGCAGCAATAAGGTTGCCTGGTCTGACGAATCACGTTTTCTTTCATATAAGGCAGACGGCCAGATGCGTGGGTCTCATTTACCAAGGAAAAAAGGCAGGTTGGCGGAGGCAATGTTATGGGTCAATGTTCTCCTGGGAACCCTTGGGTCCTGGCATTCATGTGAATGTTACTTTGACACATACCACCTACCTAGAGATTGTTGCAAACCTCATATACGCCTTCATGGTAATGGCACACTGACACACTGAGAGCAAGTGTGTCAAATGGTTCGCTTCCGCTACACTTTTTGGGCATGGGTGGGTGAGGCATGCCTAGTCTCACCTTCCCTGTAGGGTCTCCTGAATGGCCCTGGAATCCAGGAAGAGGGAGGCACGATTGTATTGTAGTAAGTGGCAGCATAAACTCTCTCATAATTTTGTTTCCCAGATCTTGTCCAGATACGTTACTACGATAACCTCCATTCATAAATGATGGATTTTTTTTGAGCTAGAGAAGCAGCTTCTACTATTGTTTACAAATAGTTTAATTAATGGTTTACATGAATGAAGGCAGTTAATACTGGATTTCAATACAATTCTTGATAGCTGTGGGGTATGCTAACATCTGTCACAGAGAGCTGCTGGAACGCCATGATTGTCTTGGTCAGTTCCTGGTCTGGTTAGATCTCACATCTGTGATGGAAGGTATGCTATGATGGTAAATACAATGTAAATCTAGAATGAAATGTAAAATCTAAAGCAATTTATTTCAGTATGAGTCTAAGGATCCCTCAAAGCTGGCTTAACAGCATTGAAAATGTATTTAAAAAAATATACAGGGTGAGCCATTTAGTGTACAATGTTCAATGTATTATAGCCTGATGATGTTGTTTTTTTTAATTGGTGTCTTGACAATTTATTCACTGGTGCCAATATCAAAATATACTCAATAGGAAACAATAGAATGTGAGACATAATTTTATCTTTAAAATATGGAGTGGCTGTTTGTCAACGGACATTTTTTTTGGGAGGGACAGGGGGAGATTATGTGATAAAACGTATTCCTATGGTCTGTCTAGAAGTACGATACAAGTGTAGCTTACATTACATGTACAAAGTAATTATAGAACTGCTGAAAAAAATAATGGTAAAAAAAAAAGACCCCAGCACGGTTCTCTCACACATAAATAAATAATAAAAATAGTAAATTGGATTGTTTTTCTAAATTCTATAATTAATCAAGGGAGGCCCTCTCCTTCCATTCTGTGTTCAGTGGGGTAGAGGGAAGGTATGGGCTAGTGATAGGGTGGTGGATAATTTATAAATGAATATGGGCCTGGAAAATACACTGCTCTTCTTCCACTCATTGTTCAGCCTCACCTTGTGGTATTTGCAGTAGTTGCTTTCTGATAAATACGGAAGTGCCGTTCGGCGGTGATGCGGCAATATCTCTGACTCCTGTGACATCTTGGTGGCTGCTGGCCACTGCGGATCCACACCAATATGTAGCCCAACGTCCTCCCACACTACTGACAACGTCAACGTGCGTGTGACGTCACCTAAAGGACGCGTACGCACGTTCTGGGGTCAAAGGCCGGGTACGGCCAATCGGATCTGAAGGAGGCTTATTTAAACTTATTTTTTCCTTTTACTCCTTGCCCTGTCGTGGTTTCCCTGTGGTTATTAACTTTGGCTTCGTTTGACTTCCCTGTATTCTGGTATCCCTGACTTTTGTCTCTCTCTTATCGTTGTGTCCCATTCTGTGTCCCTGACCTCGACAAGTATTCTGACTATTCTTTGGTACGTTAAGTCCTGCCATTCTAAGGCCCGGTAAGACGTTACCTTCTAGTCCTAGGTGTGATACAGTTCTACGTGCGGGATTAATGAGTAATCCTGACATTGGGCATGACAAATTGTCAGTCCTAATAGCTTCCAGTCCTTATAAAACCTCTACCCACTTTCCTATATGCAGGACTAGTCTCCTAGTTCAGAAGTGTTAACCCCAACTCCCCACCAGATAACAGGAATCCCTAAACTCCTAGCCACCAATTTACCTAAGTACACTACCTACCTGATGTTCTAACTTATTAAAATAAATCTCTAAAACATACACTATGGTCACCCAGACCCCTAAGGGCACTCTCCCTGCCCCCCTAATCCTGCAGCTGAATACATTGCTGTTATAGAGAAACTGCAATGTTTTCATTGCCGTGGTAAAATTGCCAGACAGCCACTAGAGGCGCTTCCTGCTGTTTCACGGTGTCTCCATGAAACAGAGATGACACGAATCGGCGCTGGAATCAGGTAAGTATTTAAAATGTTTTTTAACCCCTTGATTCCCCAGGGAGCAGCCACGGAGGCAGGGAGACACTGTATTGTTAGGGATACAGCTATGTGTTCCTTAAAGGGACACTATAGTGACCATAACAACTACAGCTTAATGTAGTTGTTCTGGTGAGTATAATGGCTCCCTTCAGGCACTATCATGTAAACACTGCCTTTTCAGGAAAAAAAGGCAGTGTTTACATTGCCCCTAGGGACACCTCCAAGTGGCCACTCCTTAGATCGCCACTGGAGGGGCTTGCACAGTAAGCAGCCCTTCCGTTCAGCGTCCCCACGCTCTGCGTGGAGGCGCTGAATTTTCCTCATAGAGATGCATTGATTCAGTGCATCTCTATGAGGAGGTCCTGACTGGCCAAAACGGAATTTGGCCCTGCCCCGTGCCGATTTTAGCCATTGGTTTGACACTAAAATCAGGGTCACATGTGGGCGTCTGTGGTTCTGCTCCCCGCTGGAGGCTTAGTTATGGCAGAGTGTAACTCCACGTTAATCATACCAATACACTCCCTAAGGGAAAGAATGGAATTGGCTAAAAATCGCCCATTTTGATGATGTCACAAAGGGGCGGAGCCGGTGCTGGAAATAAGTTGAGTTTTAAACTTTTATAGGTGGGTGAGGGGTGGGGGGCAACCACCTAAATGGTTGGTTTAGCACTATAGGATCAGGAATACATGTTTGTTTTCCTGACCCTATAGTGATCCTTTAAAGTACATTTCATACTTTGCCCACCGAAATCTTGTTTGAAGAGCTATTGTCTTCAGGGTGATGAACTAATAACAATATGGCAACAGTTTCTGGAACTTCATCGTTATCTTGTACTAAGCATGGTCCGTACAAATATTTATTTTGTTTTGATTTTAATATGAAACATGAAGACGTACTACAAGACAATTTATACTGAAACATTTTTTTTTCTACATCTGTAATGCCTCCCCAGAGTGGAGACTGTTACAACAGGGAGCAAGGGAATAACGAGGCCTTATGAGAAAAATGTAAAAACATGATTTACTCTCCACTTACAGATCAAGGACTAAATTTTTTTGCATGTAAAGAAGAGACAGTTTGTTGCAGAGTAAAGCTTTTGCTACTCTCTTTATTGAGGACTGTATTTGTATCTGCACACACCTCTTTCCACATAACATCACTGGTAATATTTTCAATGAACGTGGTTGTTATGGAAAGTAATTGTAAGAACTGTCAGCCGTACCCAGTATGTTGGGGCGTGAACACACCACTGATGTAATATATATATATAAACATAACATAAACTGCATTGAATAGAATGAAGGTGAAATTTAATTTATTCTTATAACAGGAAATACCGTAGCTATTTTACAGCAAATATATGTAATATAACCTGTGAACTCTAAATACAAATACCCAGGTGATATCTAGAGCGAATATACACTGTCTGGACATAACTACTGAGTTTGTGAAACATCTTACTTATATAATCACTTCATCTCATTGCCTGGAGTCTCTTGGCACCATTCCATTGTTCATTGGTAAGCCATTTCCAAATGGTTTGACACTAAAATCAGGGTCCCATGTGGGCGCCTGTGGTTCTGCTCTCCGCTGGATGCTTAGTTATGGCAGAGTGTAACTCCACGTTAATCATACCAATACACTCCAGGGATGGGCAGCCGTAAAAGGCTGAGAGTACTATCTCACTCACAGTCAGTCATTGCTTTGGGTTATATTGTAATAGTGGATCAGTATTACAGCTTACTCTGTTCCTCGGCTCTGGGAAAAAAATAAGTAAAATCATTCATTTTATATGGCAAACGGGGAGGACATATGTTTAAATAGGGACAGGGATACTAAAGCGTTAACAATACTCTTATGTATTCCTAATACTTTAGTGTTCCTTTAGACCCTTCCGAAACAGAAGGGTGCCTAGAGTGCGCCTAGCAAAAACAAAAATCCCACAAGTGCAAGTGGCAGTTCCTGTTCAGTCTTTTTTTTATTGTTAAACTGATTATTGTTTCAGTCTGCTGTTGAGAAGCATATTGAGATTCCTACGCATTCCAAATACACCTCTGTGATAAATAAAGGTGCTCAACCGCTGCCTGGTGCGTACAGACAAAACTCTGCGATCCGGAAACCACAAGTGTAAAACATGCCACCAACAACAATATTATTCCCACCATCAAAGAGCTCTGACAAATTAACTTAAACTAGTTTACATTAGTGAGTCAGAAATCAGCCCAGTGCAACTTACTAGCAAAGCTTACTGTTATAGTATCTATGCCCCTCTCACCCAGGAAGAATTCTTATTCTATCCTTTTATATCATAGTCTGCTTTTTATACTAAACCTACACATTTTTGCTTTTCCTGCACTATAAACATTTCACTCATCCTTTTTTATTTTCATACAATTTCATCAGCATTGTATGCTTTGTAAATGAGCGTGTATGAAAATCAACTGGTAATCTGCCTATAGATATTTGAATCAGAGTGTAAAAAAAAAATGGAACAGGTAACTTGATCTGTACCGTACTCATTCCTGGACTCTACACTCCTGCCACACCCAGTACACTCTTTATAGCGGGTGGGTAAAGCACATATTCCTTCGCTGAAGCCTATGCCCAGACATCTGCCCCTCCCTAATGTTAAAGAATTCATGCATAAAAGGCATTGGGACGGTTGAAATTCTTTGCCTGTGGCAAGATATGACTTACAAAACAACATTTCAGATTTTTTTTTTTAACCTCTTCTTCTTGTTATTGACATGTTTTAGGCATTTCATTTTGAGTTTTGGTTTCTTGAGATCCCCATTGATGAATCTGCACACCTGCATCTTAAATTTCAGTTCTATCATTTGCATCTAATTCTTTGTTTTGGCAGGGGAGCTTACAATTTACGGCCATACCAGTAGATTAAATTGCATGATTGTGCACAGATACTCTTTTGCATTACGTTTAGATTTTGTGAATATATTTTATTATAATTATTTTGTCTCCTTGTAATCATCTTTTCTTAAACATAAATATAAAAAATTAAGACAGCCATATTGTGATGGGCAATTATATCACATCAATGTGGCAAATGTATATTTTTAATATACTAAAAATTAACATTTTTAATATACTAAATAAGATTAGGTTGCATATTGTTTCTTTCATAAATAACATTTACCATGGTAAGTATAGATATAATGACAGTGGCTGCTCCAGTACTTTATACATATATATATATATATACACAAACAAACAAAAAATAAAATAAATCTTTAATCTAAAATGTACTCAGGAATTCCTGCCTCTATCAGTCTTCCAGGTGGATATTTTATTTAGAAAATTGGGCAGACTAGATGGGCCGAATATTTCCTTTCTGCTGTCACATTCTATGTCTCTAAATGTCATGTGTTTATGAGTCTTTGGTAAATTGTGAATGTTGGGGATTATTGTATTTTTTTTAGTTAGATGTGGTTTTTAATCTCCATCAATAATGCCAGCTGTTAATGCCCAATCCACCCCATGTGCAAACTTAGCTTGTATATCTTTAGTTGCACCTCCCAGTTGAAGGCTGTAAGACAAATGCCATATAACCAGGTAATTTCAACACAATCGGTGCTCTCTTTTGCCTGCTGGCTTTATAGTAATTGCTTTATTTATGCTTTAAGCCTGACAAGGCATCACATTCCTCCTATGTCATATTGATGGAGCACCTGGTAGAATGATCATGTTCAAAATGTTGTAGTTTGTTTCTATTAATCAAAGTCATGTATATTTCTACTGCATAATCTGCTTTATGTGATGAAATGAAACGTTTGAAAACATTCTTCCCATAAGTCTCTTCTTGGACATATTGCATATATTGTATATTGGTAACCTCTGATATATCATCCCCCTTATTAAAAAAAAATTAATATGAAAAGTTATTTTCTATGAAATGTGAACCAATTTCTTAATTTAAGATTTTGTTACTTTATTGCAAGGGCAAAGTCCTTGAGAGTCAAAATGTTGACTATACTTCTTTATTTGGACAGTGCTACCCTCAGGGGTGGTTTCTGTTTACTTTATGCCTTTGTCATCCACTTTTTTTTTTTGTGATCTCTTCTTAAGAGTCCTGATCCAATCCTAAAAAAAGAAGTGTAGTCTTCTCGCTCTTGTTGAAATGTTCGCTATTTACTTGACTCCACTTTCTCGTAGAAAGTCTCCATAGTTCAGAAAAAATCTCTAAGCATAGTGCAGTCATCTCTGGACCATACAGGATAGGAACCTGTGTTGAACAGTTGGAGAAAGTTTTATGTCATCTTTTAACATCACCCATTTTGTGCCAGTCAAATTTAGAGCAGTTCGGCTCATAGGATAGTGGAACAGTTCTCTAAAGTGATAACAGCGACCTGTCTATACATAACCTGGTTCACTATTTAGTAAACTAAGCTAGGCTCTTTTTAAATGCCCAAGCAGGACAAAACTGATCACATGATCCTGGAAATAAACATTCCAACTGATTTATTTATAGCTACAAGGATTTGAAGAATTCACAACAATTCTAAGCCACTTTCAGAGCGGAGAGTGATTCTTTCGACAATCAACTTTGCAAATATGATAAGTTGTGATGGTGCTTAGAATATTAAATCTTTTTTTTCTTAAATACCTATATAGCGTTGAAAATATACTTGGATTTTCAAAATTTACTTCATAAGGTGACCCTGGCAGCCAGGAGGGCCCTGGCCCAGGTGTGGCTACAGGGAGAGACTCCCCCTCTTGATGTGGTGATACAAAAGATTAAGGACACGTACATCATGGACGAGTTAACTGCTCGGGTCCGGGGCACTAGGAAGAAAATGGAAAAGATTTGGGGCCCGTGGATAGATAGCAGGGTGGGCGATTAGGGGGAAAGGGGACGGGTTCGTCTCCCGCTTACCCTGACGCGCCTCTACAGACGCTGGGATGGATTGTAATTTTCTATCTCCCATCTGTAGCGGGACCCTTGGGATCCCACCGAGACGTCCATGGTCTATAGTGTTCCTCTCGGGCACGGAGGTCCTTGCCTAAAACTTACCGGCTTGTAGCTGCCCGGCTGCCTGGTCGGGCCGGCATCATCACTATTTTCGGAATATCACCATGATACCCCCTCCCATTCCCACTCCCTCTCCCTATTCTCTTCTACTCTCATGGTACTTTCCATCCAGTTAATCTACACTTTTTCTACTTTATTTAAACTCTTTTCCTTATTTTTTCATGCAGTCTGACTGCCGTCCAGTGACCATTTGGCCAACTAGAGCCTTATTGGGGGTGGGGGGGCGGGTTGCGGGGCGATTATAGGCGGATCGCTAGTAAACTGGTATTACACAACTGTTAACCTTGTACGTTAGGTCTGTGTTCGGTAACCTGGCTAAACTCCTAAGGGATTTTAGAGGTCACTGTTGAAAGATAACGCGAAATACCATCATACGCTACATGGGCAGTCAGGAATATTTGTATTACTTAATATAAAATAGGTGGGATGCCGCAGTAACCAGACTTTTATAGACGGCAGACATAAGTTGGATTCGATGCATGTGATTGGTTGTAAGATCATCTAATAATGATTGCTCTTAACTAATGCCGTCTATTGACTGTGATACTGTTCATTTTTTGCATCATTTTGAATATATTACTGTGGTGTCTGATCTTGTTATAAATAAAGGATTTCAAAAAAAAGAAAATATACTTGGATTTTATGTTTTTTTAAAGGTTTGTTTTCTTTTTCAACGTATGTTGAATAACTTAGCTCCCCTTTACATTCTTCGATGGATTTGCATTACAAACCCCTGGGCAAAGGCAGGACCAGTTTATGGCACATGTGGGTTGGGTCATGTGTAAACTTGTGTTTTCACCTATAATGCAAAACCAAAATATTTAAAATTTTTCCAAAAATGTAGAATTAGGATAAATAGATAGACTAAACTAGTTTCTCAGTGTGAGATGTACTGCTGTAGAAAACACACATAGGTGCACGGAAACCTAAAACGGATGGAAAATAGTTTATATTCTAAACAAAACAAATTATGTACTCAACATGCAATAGCGCTATACAGTACGACCATACTGATTCAGCAACAAGTAACCTCTCCAATTGTCTTAGTTTTTGTTGTGTTTTTAATGGAATCATTGCGTAAAAAGGGCCCCATCCCCCTTTTTAGATTTTTATTTTATTGCATTTTACAAATATGCAATGCAAGTCACAAAAACATGCTGCATTATGGATGAACAGGAAGGAACACAAAAACTATAAATCACAAGAACAAATAATATTAGCAAAAAAGAACAGATAATCATTGGTGCGTATATCGGCACAGTCAGAAAGACTAGATAATTATGAGAGTGCATTTAGCAAAGCAATGAGCAAGAGGCAAAAGTAGCAACCAACCCCTATTTTTGAATACATTATATGGATAATATTTAAAAATGCGAAAAGAAGAAAAAAAACTAAAATTGAAAAAAGAAATGCAAAAATAATATCCCTTCCAGGATCCTCAAACTTTAGATAAGCTGACTGCAGCTTCAAGCAGACCTCTCCCTCATCATGAAGAGGCTCACCAATCAGCTGCCTCTTGTTCTCGTTTTTGGGGTCAGATCTTATACACCCCTCTTCATCAGATGTTTATAGGATTAGTAGTTTATCGCGCAGTAAGCAGTTTCACTCATTACACAAGATTAGTAGAAATGCTCTATAAATTCTTAGCACTAATAATCTCACATTTCGGTCCAATAGCCTTCTCTTTATATTGCAAATACATTGTGTAGCTTATACTATGATTATATTTACATTTTCTATTGGGTCTAGCAGGTTGCCATGTACTATCCCCTGTACTATCTCCCACTGTGTGTGAAGCCCATTCCTTTGTTTCTACACCAATAATATCAATTATAAACAGCCAGTTCACATTTAAAAGACCACTATAGTGCCAGGAAAACAAACTTGTTTTCCTGGCACTATAGTGTTAATAGGTCCCCCCCTCCCGCTGGGCTGAAGGGGGAGGAAGGGGTTAAAATCTTACCTTGCTGGGGACTCACCTCCTCCGTCTGAGCCGCGCGCGCATTCAGTCAGTCTCAATGCTTTCCTATGGACGCTGGCGTCTTCTCACGCCTCTAGCGTCTGTCAATGAGACAGCCACTAGAGGCTGGATTAATAGTGCAGACATATTTGACCATCTCCTTCTCTGAAACGGTCAGAACAATGAAAAATTTGTCGTACATGTCAATTGCTAGGTTCTCTTCCGGGGTTGGTCAATACTAGTCAATATTAATATCAAGATGGCACCAACATAATTGCGAAACTTAATATGCAGTCAAAGATCAGCAGCCATTTTAAATTTGAAAGCCTTTTAAATTTCATAAAACCTTGGGCAATTGTAGAGGTCTGCAGTGAGAAGTTGTACATGATACACGTAGGCTATAGTTAATATCGTGTGGTGGATCTTTTGGATTTTATGCACATCTTTCAAAAACTATACAAATCCTTTTGTCACAGAAATGGAACTCTATGTGAAGTTATGACCTTTATTCAGATTGGTTTAGGAGGCGGTCAATGTTATGTGGTTTGGCAGCCATTTTAAAATGATCATAAAGAAAATAGATTTGTTTTTTCAACGCATACTTTATTTAATCCTTTTCAAAAATGTATACAAAAAAGAAACCACATTAAAATGCATCACCTACAGTATTTCTATTACATAAATATTTTACAGTTTAACCCTGTCTTACCAAGCACTTTTTGTTTGAAAACTTTAAGTATAGCATTTCTTTGAAATGGGGGTTGATAGTCAGCACATAAGTATATATATATAGCTATAGACCGTGTACAATATTTAGCACATGGTATAAAATTATACAAAAAAAAACAAAACAAAAAAAAAAAACACTTTTCTCACATGAAGTAGGTGTGACAAAAATAAATAAAAATGTTCCAAGGTATTTGTACGAATCCTGAGGCATTACTAGCAGCACAGCTTGTTTAAAATTGCAACAGAATATAAATAAGAATCTCTAGATTGTAAGCTCTTTTTAGCAGGGTCCTCATCAACCTATCGTTCCTATAACATTTTGTAATTTTCTAATTTATTGTTAAATTTCCCCATTCATAATATTGTAAAGGTGCTGCAGAATAAGTTGACGCAATATAAATGCCATTAATAATAAGAAACAGTTAGTCTGTCTGCATTTGAAAATAATGCATCCATTAAATGTATTACTAGTGGCTTCTGCCAGAGACGTTTGTATGCAGAGGTTGGCAATCTTTGGCACTCCAGATGTTTTGCATAATTGTGGCAAAGCATTAGTGGAGATATACAGTGAGGGAAAAAAGTATTTGATATCCTGCTGATTTTGAACATTTGACCACTGACAAAGAAATTATCCATTGTAAAGCACTGTGGAATTTGATGGCGCTATATAAATATCATAATCATAATAATAATCAGTCATTAATTTTAATAGTAGGTGTATTTTAACAGTGAGAGACAGAATATCAAAAATAAAATCCAGAAAAACGCATGTCAAAAAAGTTATAAATTGATTTGCATGTCAATGAGTGAAATAAGTATTTGATCCCCTCTCAATCAACAAGATTTCTGGCTCCCATGTGTCTTTTATACAGGTAACAAGCTGAGATTAGGATCACTCTCTTAAAGGGAATGCTCCTAATATCAGCTCGTTACCTGTATAAAAGACACCTGTCCACAGAAGTAATCAGTCAGTTTCCAAACTCTCCACCATGGCCAAGACCAAAGAACTGTCCAAGGATGTCAGGGACAAGATTGTAGACCTACACAAGGCTGGAATGGGCTACAAGACCATCGCCAAGTAGCTTGGTGAGAAGGTGACAATAGTTAGTGCCATTATTCGCACAAAAAAACTGTTAGCCTCCTTCGGTCTGGTGCTCCATGCCAGATCTCACCTCATGGAGTTTCAGTGATCATGAGAATGGTGAGGAATTAGCCCAGAACTACACGGGAAGATCTTGTTCATGATCTCAAGCTACCTGGAACCATAGTCACCAAGAAAACAATTGGTAACACACTATGCCATGAAGGACTGAAATCCTGCAGTGCCCGCAAGGTCCCCCTGCTCAAGAAAGCACATATGCAGGCCCATCTGAAATTTGCCAATGAACATCTGAATGATTCAGAGAATAACTGGGTGAAAGTGTTGTGTTAAGATGAGACCAAAATCGAGCTCTTTGGCATCAACTCCATGTTTGGAGGAGGAGGAATGCTGCCTATGACCCCAAGAACACCATCTCCACCATCAAACATGGAGGTGTAAACATTATGCTTTGGGGGTGTTTTTCTGCTAAGGTGACAGGACAACTGCACCGCATCAAAGGAACAATGGATGGGGCCATGTACCGTCAAATCTTGGGTGAGAACCTCCTTCCCTCAGCCAGGGCATTGAAATTGGATCGTGGATGGCTATTCTAGCATGACAGTGACCTACAACACACAGCCAAGGCAACAAAGGAGTGGCTCAAGAAGAAGCACATTAAGGTCTTGGAGTGGCCTAGCCAGTCTCCAGACATTAAGCCCATAGAAAATCTGGGACGGTCGCTGAAGGTTCTAGTTGCCAAACGTCAGCCTCGAAACCTTAATGACTTGGAGTGGATCTGCAAAGAGAAGTGGAAAAAAACCCCTCCTGAGATGTGTGCAAACCTGGTGGCCAACTACAAGAAACCTCTGAACTCTGTAAATTGCCAACAAGGGTTTTGCCACCAAGTACTAAGTCGAAGGGGTCAAATACTTATTTCACTCATTGACATGCAAATCAATTTCTAACTTTTTTGACATGTGTTTTTCTGGATGTTTTTGTTATTCTGTCTCTCACTGTTAAAACACACCTACCATTAAAATTATGGACTGATAATTTCTTTGTCAATGGGCAATGTTCAAAATCAGCAGGGGATCAAATACCTTTTTCCCTCACTGTAGCCCACAACATCTGGTGTGCCAGAGGTTGCCTATTTCTTCCATTGATTGCGTCTCATCAGATTCTAAAGATTATATCTTTACTTTATCTAAAAAGTTATCTAAAAAGGTTAAAACGTTACCAGTCATTTACTTACAGCTGTTAAACTAACAAAGCTCATGCAGGGTGTAGAAGGCTATTAACAGAGCACAAGATAATAAATTCTAAATTATACAAAATGTACAATAAAGGAAGTTTAAAAATTAAACCTCTCTTTGGAGGAAGTGTTTAGGAAGGCTGTGTAAGTCACATGCGTGGAGACATGACTAGTGCTGTAGAAACAAAGTGATTTAACTCCTAAATGGCAGAGAATTGGGCAGTGAGACTATAGGGGCATGATTTATACACCAAAACCACTTAATTAAAGTAAAACTATAGGGCCAATAACACAAACCTGTATTCCTGACCTAAAATCAATATCTACCCCACACACAAAATCTGCCTTCCAAAATATAATGAAATCTTACCTTTATTCCAGTCTGCCAGCACAGGCTCCACCTCTGATCTGCCTCCTTGGCTGACATCATCAGAATTTTATGATCTCAGCCAATCACATTGCTTTCTCATAGAAAGTATTCGATTGGCTGAGATAGTCAATATTGATGATCTTAGCCATGGAGGCTGGCCGGGGGCAGAGCCAAATACTTCCCTGGCCAATCAGCAACTCCTTTTAGAGATGCGTTATATCAATGCATCTCTATGAGGAAAGTTCAGTGTCTCCATGCAGAACACGGAGACACTTAATATCAGTGCTGCACAGTGTGTAGCAATGTCCGAGGGAGCACCTTTAGTAGCTGTCTAAGTAGTGGCCGCTGGAGGTGGCCTTAGGCTGTAATGTAATGTGAAAAGACACAACAAAATTGTCTGCAGGGACTCACTATACTCACCAGTACAACTAAAAAAAGCTGTAGTTGTTCTGGTGGCTATAATGACCATTTAAGCTAAAGTGGTTTTGTTGCCTATTTTGTTCCTTCAATCACAAATTGCTTCTACAAATATGAAAGTGATTCAGTTTACATATGAAGACTGTGCATTACAAGATCTCCAGCTGACAGAGTGAAATGAGTGAGAACAAAAAGTGCAAATTTAAAAATCCCCAAAAATATTCAGCACTTTATTGGCTCCATATTGCAAACGATTCAAACTGTTCTGGTGAAAGTGTGGCTTTTTGGTAATGAAGTATTATGTGTTTTTATACACTCCTTTGCAGTGTACTATTTATTAGTGTAAACAGTGACAAGATCTTTTTGTTTCTGTCAGGTGTGTTATTTTCACGGTTACTAACTTTTTATAACCATGGATTGTAGAGCAATGTTTGAACTAAAATCACTCAGATTTTTGTTTACGCAGCTCTTTACAGAAAAGAATATTCACTTTCTTTCTACTATAGCCTTTAAGTCATGGCAACTTTAGATTGTTGAAGAAACAAGTTAGTTGCTCCAAGCAACCGTTTTTCATTGACTCTATAATATTCACTACTATACATATGTTTCAGGCAGGTGTGAAAAAATGCCGTAAAGTAAGAATGCTTTCAAAAATTGAAATGTTAGCAGTTTAATTTTATCAATTAGCAAAATACAAAGTTAGTGAACAGAAGACAAATCTTAGCGAAAGCATACAGAGAATAGGAGAAAGGAAATACCACTTCTATTTCTCCTCTTTATTTGCAAAATGTCCTTGTCTGAACTAGATTATGGTGCCGTTTGCTAGAAAAAAGTTAAAGGAACACTATAGGGTCTGGAACACAAACATGTATCCCTGACCTTATAGTGTTAAAACCACCATCTAGCCCCTCACCCCCATTTTCCCCTAAATATAGTAAAATCTTACTTTTGTTCAAATCTGCAGCTGCTGACTCTGCCCCTCAGATGTTTGCTTGATTGACACCATCAGAAGTGTTGTTCTGAGCCAATCACAAAGACTTCGCTGAGACTGTCAGGGAGGTAGATCAGGGGCAGAGCCAGCACAATTTAAACACAACCCTGTTCAATCAGCATCTCCTCATAGAGATGTATTAAATGAATGCGTCTCTATGAGGAAAGTTCAGTGTCTGCATGCAGAGGGTGGAGACAATGAATTGCATTGCTGCTTACTGTGCAGTGCATGCGCACTAGCCTCCTACGACTACCCTATAGGGAAGCATTGGATTAGCCTAGATCTGGTATAGGCAACCTTCAGCACTCCAGATGTTTTGTACTACACTTCCCGTTGATCCTTTACAAGCATTATGAGTGTAAGAGCATTATGGGGGATGTAGTCCACAACATCTGGAGTGCCGAAGGTTGCCTATCCCTGGCCTAGATCATCAAAATGATGATCTCAGCTTAAAAGGCATAGCAGCAGCGAGAAAAGCAGTGTGGCATGGGCTAAAAGGTAAGTAATACTCACCTTTCAAACTCTCACACAGGAAATATTCAACCTTTTTAGTGTGTGCATTATACTCTTGTTTTTTCAGAAAAAACATAGCTAAGTAGCAGGACACCATAGCGTTAGGAATACATGTCTTTATATCTGAATGCTTGTTACATGGGATAGTTACAGACACTTATCTTTGTTACATAAAATTACAAAATACCCACTAAACACCAAAAGTACAATATATGGAAAAAAGCTACTTAGCTTATATGTACAGATTCCCAAGGTCCCTTTCCTGGTGACCTCACATAAACAAGATATAGTACAGAAAATATGGGATACAGCTGAATACCTAGAATGAAAAATAACAAAATAATAGTGCAACACTGTATGATGATGTTAACAGTGCCCCCACTTAATATAGAACTCACAGACTCCAAGTGATATAGCGCCTTAAAGTTGCTTTCCCTTACAAGGGAGGTTTGGATCCTCTATCGGGTTGTAGCTCTCCCGATCAAAATCAGGGATCGGGTAGGTAAGTAAAAAAATGATTTATTTAAAATATATATATGTAAAAAAATTCAATTGATAAAAATGTATAAAGCAGTAGATCACCAGTCCTACGCGTTTCGTTTCCTTAGAAACTACGTCAGAGACCAATTTTCATACAATTACAGTGATAAAACATTATCAGTAACAATAAATCAACTTGGCCGTCGTCCCCTAACCAGCCCTAAATAGGGCTGTTCCTGGTGTGTTTGGGGGAGTTCCCATCCATTCCGCCAATCGATTTCTTTTCATTTCTCCTCCCCATGGCTGTTTCGGTTTTTTAACTGCCGCCGTGTGTTCTTCCGCGTTGTTAATCAATTTCCGGCCTGGGTACCAATGTTCCAATTTCAAAATAAGCTTTATTGTTCATGTAGTTCATGAGTTTACAAAAAAAAATCACATATTTCATTATAACTCTTTAGTCTAGTGAAAAAACAAAGCTGTGTTAGTGAACCGTTATCTTCATATATTGGTTTTAAGCAAGATTTTTCCTTATATATTTGGGTGAAGAATCAGTGAGCTATAAATCAAAGTGCTGTGAATGTAAGCCCTATTACTCATCACACACTTTTACTATATTAATAATTATGAGTTTGCCCACCTGACAAGCCAAAATTACCGTCAACCACATATTCCTACAGATGAGAATATGTGTGCCATGTGTCACTAAAAATGTCAATCACAAAAAAAATATGTTAAAAAATATATACATTAAAAAATATAAAAATATTTAAAAAAAATGTGAAAAATTTTATCAAAAATTATGATAGAAAATATATAATAATACAAAAATAAAAAATAAATAAAAATATAAAAAATTATAAAGCATATTTTAACTTGGCCAGTGGGGCATATCTACCAACATCATCACTCATAGGGTTCACAAAAAACAAACCAAATCAATGCCTACATTTAAGCCATTCGGTTCCAGTGTCTGCAATTGTGGATCCAAAAGGTTTCCCGTTGGGAAAAGGATCTCAGTCTGTCCCCTCCTCTCCATTGGGGATCGATCATTTTGATTCCTAAGCACACCAATTCCTTGCGTTCAAACATTGGACAGGAGCTGCAGTGCACTGGAACCGAATGGGACACTTTTTCCAATATTATTGGCGTGCTTCAGTATTCTAACTTTAAAGTATTGCTCGGTGCGTCCTACATATTGCTTGCCGTACAGACACTGCAGTAGATACACAATGTAGTCCGTGCGGCAATCAATGTGTGTCTTGATGGAAAATGTCTCTCCTGTTGTGGTACTTTTAAAAGTAGTATTTTTTAGCAATTTCATGGTGCGGCAAGCTTTAAACCTCCCACAACCTTTAAAACCTGGTTCTCCAGGATCTTTTCATTGATTGGTGGTTTGTATACATTTTACATAACTGGGAGCCAAAAGATTTTTTTTAGGTTACAATTTGTTTTTTCAATTACTGTGTTTTTTTGGGGTAAGATGGTACTCAACACAGCGTCTTGTAAGAGGATAGGCCAATGTTTAGCCAAGCCCCTCTTAAAGCCTATTTTTTTTTTATTATATATTTTCCATTATAATTTTTTATTACATTTTCCATATATGTTTTAATATTTTTGTATTTTTGTGTTTTTTTAATATATATATATTTTTGAGATTTACATTTCTAGTGACACATGGCACACACATTGTCATTTGTAGGACTATGTGATTGACAGTAATTTTGGCTTGTCAGGTGGGGCAACTCCTATTATAATTATTATTGCCATTTATATAGCGCCAACAGATTTCGTAGCGCTTTACAATATTATGAGAGGGGGGATTTAACTATAAATAGGACAATTACAAGAAAACTTACAGGAACGATAGGTTGAGGAGGACCCTGCTCAAACGAACTTACAGTCTATAGGAGGTGGGGTATAAAACACATTAAGACAGGAAATAGCAATCAGATAAGGTGGGAGTGAAGCAGAGCTGGAGGAGAGAGTAAAGTGCTGCCCTTTAGGAGAGAGAGGTATGTGAGGTAGAGGTTACCCTAGGAGGCCATAAACTTTCCTAAAGAGATGGGTTTTAAGGCACTTCTTAAATGATTGAAGACTAGGGGAGTGTCTGATGGCGGTAGGCAGGCTATTCCATAGGTAGGGAGCCGCCCACGAGAACTCCTGCAAGCATGAGTTAGCCGTACGGATGCGAGCAGCGGACATGAGAAGGTCACGGACAGAGCAGAGAGACCGAGAATGGGCATACCTATGGATCTGTGAAGAGATATAAGAGGGGCTAGAATTGTTCAGTGCTTTATAGGTATGGGTTAGCACTTTAAATTGACTCCTACAGGATACAGGAAGCCAATGTAAGGAGGAGTTAGAGGACCGACTAGAGAGGTAAATCAGTCTGGCGGCAGCATTCATTACAGACTGTAGCGTGGCAATATGGCTTTTGGGAAGACCAATTAGGAGAGGATTACAATAATCCATGCGGAAATTACCAGAGCATGGACAAGCTCCTTGGTAGCATCTTGTGTAAGAAATGGGCGGATGCAGGCTTTTTTTTAAAGATGGGATCTACAGGATTTGGTAACATACTTGATGTGAGGCTCAAAGGTGAGGCCAGAATCAAGTATGACACCAAGACAGAGCGCTTGCAAGGATGGACTTATGTGGATACCACTAACTTGTAGGGAGAGCGAAAGAGGATGATCAGTATAAGGAGGAGGAATGATATATGTCATGGGTACCCTCTATAATACAAAAGTTTCCATAATAAATGTGTATGCCCCCAACAGTTTTAGAGAGATTGAGTTTCTGAAAGAAGGAGGACATCTAGTCAGAGATGGAAGAAACGCAAGCAGTGACACGTTGCAGGATGGCAGGGAATAGGTCCGGGGGGAGAGATATATCTGGGTACAGGTGGTAGTGGAATCCAAATGAGTTAATAAATTTGCCAAGAGAGCCAGTATAAAGAGAAAATAGAAGAGGAACAAGGACAGAGCCTTGGGGGACTCAAACCGAGACAGGACGAGGGGTGGAGGTATCATTAGAAAAGGAAACAATGAGCGTTGGGAGAGATAAGAGGAAAACCACGAGAGGACAGTGTCACAGAGACCGAGTGATTGAAGAGTTTGAAGAAGGAGAGCATGATCAACGGTGTCAAAGGCAGCAGAAAGGTCAAGAAGAATTAGTATGGAGTAGTGGCTTTTGGATTTAGCCACGATTAGGTCGTTAGTAACTTTGATAAGAGCAGTCTCAGTAGAGTGGAGAGCGTGGAAGCCAGATTGAAGAGGGCCAAGGAGAGAGTTGGAATTGAGGAAGTGAGACATACGGGTAAAGACAAGTCTTTCCAGAAGCTTTGAGGAAAAAGGGAGCAGAAATATGGGACGATAGTTAGAGGGGGAGGACGGGTCAAGAGATTTTTTTTCAGGATAGGTACTACAATGGCATGTTTAAGGTCAGCAGGGACAGCGCCAGTTGAAGATATGTGTTAAGGAAGGCACAAAACAGGGGGAGAGAGATCTAATATGGTGAAATGGGACAGGATCGAGCAGGCAAGTGGTGGGGCGAGAGGAAAGCAGAAGCACAGCCACCTCTTGTTCAGTAGCCAGGGAGAAAGCCTGAAGGGTAGGAAAGGCATGATCTACATGTGGTTGAGAAAGAGAACAGCAAGGTGGTGAGAATTCTTTCCTTAGCTGTTCAATCTTTTCAGTAAAGTAGCATGCAAAGTTATCGGCTGTAAGGTTAGTTTGGGGGGTGGCCACAGCAAGGCGAAGAACAGAGTTAAAGGTGTCAAAGAGACGCCTAGGATTGTGGGAGCATGAATTAATGAGAGAGGAAGGGCATGACTGTTTGGCGAGGGCAAGGGCTGCGCAGTATGAACACAATATGAATCTATAATGGAGATCTGCTTGGGTGCGAGATTTCCTCCAGGAGCGTTCAACACAACAGGAGCATCTTTGCAGGTAGCGTGTTGATTTAGTATGCCATGGTTGGGGGCGAGTACTCCTCGAGGTGCATGTTTGGAGCGGGGCTGCAGCGTTCAAGGCAGAGGTGAGGGTAGTGGTATATGTGGAGATAGCCTGTGAGGGACAGAAGAGGGAAGGGATGGATAGCAGTTATAAATTAATATCAGCTGACAGCTGCTGGCAGTCAATAGAATTAGGGTTCCACCTGAGTTTAGGGAGGTTAGGCTGAGGTTGTCGGGTGAGGGAGTACCTGAGAGCAAACGATAAGAGGTGGTGTTTAGAGATAGGAAATGGAGAGTTGCAGATATTAGATACTGTACATACATAAGAGAAAAAGAGGTTGAGGGTATTGCCAGTTACAAGGGAGGAAGTAATTGAAAGTTGTTTAAAGGCTGCTGAGGCCAAAGGTGGGTTAATGGGAATATTGAAGTCCCTGAGAATTAGGGATTGAATATTAGAAGAGAGGACGTAGGGTAGCCAGGCAGCAAAGTGGTCAACGAAGAGTAGAGGGGGAACGGGAGGGGAGGTGGTAGGGTGATAAATAACGGCAATATTAGCAGAGAAGGGTTTGAAGAGGCGAATCAAATGCATTTCAAATGATGGGATGGGGGGTGGGGAGGAGGTGGAGGTTTGAAGGAGCAGTGAGGTGAGAGGGAGAAATTAATATTTAGAGAAAATGTGTTTTGTTATATAGATATGAAGATTATACATATGCACATATATAATCATAGACTTATATATACAAACACATATAACTGAGTGTATAAACCATTGTTAAGGATGCAGTTTGTTTACAGAGAGATTTCAGGTGAGGAGAGGTTTAGTGAATTGGTGTGTTTTGAAAATCAGGTGATCTGCACTATCTATAAGTATGCTAATGACGATGGGGCGGGAAGGGTGGGTAGCCTTCCAGAGATGATATCTCTGCTTAGGCTTTTCTGCAGGACTTTGTTGCTTGTGAGTACTGGGTGTTGATAATTAATGCTGTTATTAGGGGCCCAGTCTCTGCTTAGGCTTTTCTGCAGAGCTTGGTTGCTTGTGCGGACTGGGTGTTGATAATTAATATAGTATAAGTGTGCGATGATTAATGGGTTTACATTCCTAGCACTTTGATTTATAGTGCACTGATTCTTTACCCAAATATAAAAGGAAAAATCTTGCTTAAAACCAATATATGAAGATGATAACTATTCACTAAGACAACTTCAATTTTTCACTAGACTAAAGAGTTGAAAGTAACTACGTGATTTTTTTTGTAAACTCATCAACTACTTAAACAATAAAGCTTGATTTGAAATTGGAACGCACGGAAGGAGGCGTTGGTATGCAACCCAGATATTGATTAACAACGCGGAAGAACACACAGTGGCAACTGAAAAACCGAAACAGCCATGGAGAGGAGAAATTAAAGAAATCGATTGGCGGAATGGATGGGAACTCCCCCAAACACACCGGAGGAAATCAGGAACAGCCTTATTTAGGAAGATGTGGTTAGGGGATGGTTAGGATGATTTATTGTTACTGATAGTGTTTTATCATTGTAATTATATGAAAATTGGTCCCTGAAAAAGTCTCTAAGGAAACAAAATGCGTAGAACCGGTGATCTACTACTGCTTTTATAAATTTTTTATCAATTTAATTTTTTTTTCATATATCAAATAAATAAGTTTTATACTTACCTACCCGACTCCTGATTTTTATCCAGAGAGCCACAAACCGATAGAGGCAACTTTAAGGCGTTATATCACTTGGAGTCTGTGAGTTCTATATTAGGTGGGGGCACTGTTAACATCATCATACAGTGTAGCACTATTATTTTGTTATTTTTCATTCTAAGTATTCAGCTGTATCCCATATTTTCTGTACTATAACTTATCTTTACTGTGGATTTTTTTTTCACTTTCATTTATATATGGAAATGTATTGAGAGTGCAGAGATACCCAGGTCATGCTTATCTAGTCAGTTTTATTGTTCTAGATAGTTGTCTTTTACTAAGTCACAAGTGATAATCATGCATTAAAGGCGGCCCTGTTATCTTCAGATGGTATGAAAGACAAGGTCTTCTTCAGATAAGACGTAAAATGTAACCTAGTACCTGAGATATTGCTAGTAAATATATAGGTTTGTGAGCATTTTGTCTGCTTTTTAAATTCTACACAACAGTATTCCCCATATTGCTCCCTTTTAAGGAACACTTTAGTGTTAAAAGAATAATAAATAAATAAAATGTTCCTCTTCCCAACCACTCGCAGCTCATCCCCTCCGAAAACATTTTTACAATCTCCCCATTCCAGCGCCAAGGTCCCTCTGGTGGCTGACGTCACAAGTGTAGCGACAGCTAGGTCACATACCATATTTGTAGCACACCGACTTCTCAACTCGCAGAACTTGCTTGGATTCCACCATTTTGTCATCTTAGTGGCCTTAAAGGGACACTAGGCATTGTACCTGCTTCATTTTTTTATTATTATTATCCGCAAAGCTTTACATTAAAAGGTGAATTTAACAAGTGAGACAATAACAAAATGTTAGAGAAACAATAGGTAGATGGGGACCCTGCTCAAGCGAACTTACAGTCATTGAAGTAGTTGTAGTTTCTGGAGTCCACTCATGCTATCCTTCTGTTTAGTGTTCAGCCATTTGTAATGATTTAATGCAAAACAAGAGTGCCCAGCAACCAATCCCCTCTGTGCTGTTTTGGGCTAATGAGAAAGCATTAATCTGAGCAGCAATGGTTCTCTGCAATTGGCTGAGAGTGTCAGGTGTCTGGTTTCAGTAATCAAAGTGTGAGGATGTCCAGTTTCACTTCACTGATTAAAATTATAGTGCACACTGATTTTATCTTAAAAAATCTAAACATAAATGAGATGGTACTTATTGTGCTTATATATTTAATTACCTGCAGTTAAATTAATGGATATTTAATATGCAGCAAATCAAGTGTGTTAACCTGTTTTGTGCCACAATTTATTAACTTTTCATTTTTATATTTGTAATACATAAAGCACCTCCACTGGCTGTCTGGTGACAGCCGCTAGAGGAGCAGTTAATGTTGCTGTATAATTATTGCAGTTTCTCAGAATAATTAACATTGCAGGGATAAGGGGACCGGGGCTCTGCACCCAGACCACCTCAATGAGATGAAGTGGTCGGAGTGCCTTTCATGTTCCTTTAAGGCTGTATTTGTATATCACTGTTTCACACACGTAACGTGCTTTGATGTTCTCAGGCAGCCTTGATGATCTCCCTCATATGGAAATATTACTCTGAGCCAGTGACCGTGTTACCCAGTAAATGGATTGCCCCGTTGGAACGTCTCGTAGCATTTCCTACTGGCATTGCAGGTAATATTTGTGGTATCATAATAATTCTAAATGTTTAAATGCAATGCAGTACCTGAAACATAACCACTCTGCATTGGACTGATTGTGAACTTTGTAGTGTTTGTAATGTTTTTACTTTGTTCCTTTATATGTTTTACAATGTAAGGCTCCATGTAATCTCTGAACTCCTCTATTTTACACTGGAGTTATTTTGGGTCATGTGACCATAGCTTTATACTCAATAAAAAAAAGTTTAAACTTAAATGCATGAATTAAAGCCAGGGAAAAGTTGTAATTAAATGATTACACTTGTTTCCTAGGAAGTAACATGTATGTTTTTATGATGCATGCCATTTTATACACTGTCAAGGATTGAGGTTTCATTGTGAAGCCTTAAAATGCCCTTGTCTCTGACTATCAATAGTGTACACTGGTTTTATCTTAAAAAAATTTATATTAATAACAGTACTTATTGTGCTTTTACATTTAATATTCAGCAAAACAAATGTGTGGACTTGTTTTGTGCCATCGTTTATTAACTTTTCAATTTGACGTTTAAAGCATTTAGAGGGACACTCCCTGGCCAAAGTTCAAAAATAAATCACATTTCATTGCAAATAGCACTCACTGTTTTCCCACCCAGACATTTTGTGGCTGTCTAATCACAGACCTCCCAATGCATCTCAAGGAGAAGTCTTAACAATTACTGGCTCTTGATTTTAGCTCTGCTGAGCTAAACAACCAGGAAGTAATAGGACCCATTGTCTGAATGACAGGCAAAGTTCATTTATAAAATTGCCAATTTCTATTGAAATCTGCACTGCTTGTAAAATAAAAAAAAGGCTAAAATGCGCTAGATTCTAGGAGCTAGGAGTGTCCCTTTAACGTTACATTTTATAATGGTTAGTGGGCAATGAGAGCAACTACAAACTAAGATCAAATGTATCTAAAAAAACATTAAAATAGCTATAAACTATTCCCACCTATTAAGTTCCACAGGGCACGTTGGGTAAATAACATGACGGGATGCCTTCGTAATTGAGAGAAGTCCTATCGAAGAGTCCTCACCTGGAACACTTGGAACATTCAGGCTATAAATCTTTGATCATTGTATCTATTCACATGAGGTGTTTTCACATATCCTTTTTTTAATTTTTATTTTTATTTCCAATTCCAGGTGGAGTGGGAATAACGTGTTGGCTGGTAGTTTGCAACAAAGTGGTGGCTATAATGCTGTATCCCATCAGCTAGGACGAATGACTATCTGCTAACAAGGCATTCCATAGTGCTGCTATCTGAATACACCTGTATGCATGTGGACCCAAGCAGTGACACTGCAAGCAGCTTCTACCCATGGCTTGCAGGGTTTCAGAACATTAGGAACTATTTAAATATAATTTAATTGTATTAAAACACAAAACAAAACACAAGGCATGATGTACTCTGTTTCTGTACAATTTCTGTTGTTCTTGAAAATCAGTAATATTGCTTTATATTCATGTTTTTTTTTGTGAATGGTAAATAAATTGGTGCATGGATATTCTCAAATAGTAGGATTACTTTTGAATGAGGATTTTTATATGCAATAAATGAAAATAGAATGCAACCTTCTATGTATGTCTAACCATCTTCCCTCTTAGTTCAACTAGGCAGAAAGCACAGTAAATCGTTAAGTTCTCCTACGGATGGCAATGCATTGTGGGAGTTGTTCTTCAACATCTGTTTGGCCCTTCCACTGCTGTTTATCAGCACACCTCAACATTGTACATATTATAATAGGTTGTATAAAACAGCTAGTAATATCGTTTTTTTTTTTTTTTAAATCACCTAACTGAAGGCTGAATTAAATTCCCTGTAGTCGGCAAGTAGGGCAATATTTTTTTGACGGGCCATTTCATACTTTCTACTATTATGCAAAATATATGGAAGACTGCAAGACATTCCATGCTAATTAACACATTAATGAGGAAAAACAACAACAAAACCCAAACACCTTTTACTCTTTCCTCTTGCACAGGGGCATAATTATTGTATAGTTATCTATTGAGTTTGTAGTACTAGTCCACCTGCTTGTGCCCTATTAGGATTTGGCAACTTTTTATTTTATTTTTGTAATTAAAATTGATGGGTATCATCGTCCATGCTAAGAACATTCAATGTTGAAGATAATTTTGGTTGTACTGCACTGTCCCTTTAAGAGGTGTCTCCACTTTTTGAATGCAAGAATGATGGCAAGCAGCTCTCTTCCTTTTGTCGTAGTTTTGTTCTGTCTTAGTATTTTAGAATTTTAGCCGACATGTAAGTAGAGGTTGGTTTGTCAAAATACAGCTCCCATCCTATTTTTGAAGCATCAGTTCTAAGAATGAGGGGATGACTGGGAGCAGTATGCAACAAGACAAGACACGTGAAAAGACGTTTTATCAATGTTTCCAATGTCTACGCAGCTGCACTGGACCACATCTGTTTTTGATTACCTTTTGTGGCATATTTGCTATAATGGAGTAAAATCCTTTGATAAAATACTGGTAATAATCGACAAAGCCAATGAATATCATAATGGCTGTAATCCTTTATGCCAATGGCCAGTTTAATACAATGGACAGTTTATCGAGGTCTATTTGAAACTATATAGATGACACTTTTAGAAAGTAACCTGTTTATGATCATGTTAACATTTCTCCTCTGTTACAAAACAGTCGATTTCAAAGATTTTCTGCAGCACCTTCATGCTAACATGGATATGAGATATCTCAAGAACTGGCGAATGTATTGGAATTTTGTCTAAAGATACAGATTCTAAAAGAAGTCTGGTAGCATTAAATAGACCAAGCAGTGTTATATTGTATTCGTATTGCCTAACTCATGTATTAGCAGCTATCTTCCACTCATATTTATCTTGATAATAGACCAATAATACAGGAGAACAAGCCAAAGTCAAAGATCGTGAGGAGCAAAACTAGCACCAAAACATACATGACCTCTATCAAAGGAATGATGCAGGGCCTGCGTCATTCTCTGTATAAAGGGGAGCAAAGACAGAGCACTCTGCATCATTAACAATGCTGGAATGAGACATAGCATCACCAAATGTGGTGTGGCGAAGCTGGAACAACACAAGGTCGCATGACACTGCATAATGAAAAGTATAAAACATCAAGAAAAAAACTAAACTAATGTATAGCTACAAGAAATGCCCTGAGAGATAGGGGAAGTAGGGAATTGTGCTCCCACTGGACACAGGTACGTACACCACACCACACCAGTGCACAGTAATGATAGTAAAACTAAAAAATTAGAAAGATAGCCACTTGCACATATTCAGGATAGGCAAAGTTATAGACACTGCAGTCAGTAGGAACAAATAGCACATTAAAACAAATTGCAGAAGTTAAATGACAAATATATACGGTCATGGGAAAAAGAAATAACACCCTCTTTGTCTTCTATGGTTTTACACATCAGGACATAATAACGATCATCTGTACCTTAGCAGGTCTTAAAATTAGGAAAATAAAACCTCAGATGAGCAACAACACATGACGTATTACACTGTGTCATGATTTATTTAACAAAAATAAAGCCAAGATGTAAAAGTTATATGTGAAAAAACTAAGTACACCCTTTACTGCTTCCATAAGAATTAAGAGTCTAAGTAGCAGACAGGTGCTGCTAATCAAATGCCTTTGATTAATTGATCATCAGCAAGTGTGACCACCTCTACAAATGCCGATGTTTTAACAGTTTGCTGTTTTGGTGCATTCATGTGTTTTTTACACAATGCCAAGGAAGAAAGACATCAGCAATGATCTTAGAGAAGCATTTGCTGATCCCCATCAAGCTGGGAAGGGTTATAAGGCCATTTCCAAACAATATTACATTTATCAGTCTACAGTGAGAAATATTATTAAAAAATGGAAAACATTAAAGACAGTTGCCAATCTTCCCAGGAGTGGACGTCCCAGCAAATTGACCCCAAGTTTAGACCATAAAATCATCAGAGAAATTGCAAAAAAAACAAAGTTACATCTCAGACTCTACATAACTCAGCATATTAAATGTTAAAGGGTCACTATAGGCATGCAGACCACTTCAGCTCATTGAGGTGGTCTAGGTACAGTATACCAAGTCCTTTAACCTTGCACAGATAGTTTTTTTTTTTTATAAACTACCAGACAGCCACAATAGGGACATTAGGCGACTTTTGGTCACCTAACTGATGCTGGATGTCCTCATGCTATGCATGAGGATATCCAGCGCCATCTAAAATGCCATATAAAAGCATTATACAATTCTTTCCCATGGGGAAAGTCCTAATGCAAGTGTGGCCGTTGCTGCGCATGTGCATTAGGTCTTCCTCGCCGGCTGATGGTGGGGGAGGAGCGGAGTCAGAGCCTGAACCAGAGCTGAAAGACCTCAACGCTGCAATTAGGTAAGTCACTGAGTGGGTTTTTAACCACTTCTGCACACGGAAAAGGGTGGTGACGGAGGCATACAACATTTAAGAAAAACAACTACATTTTCCTGGTACTATTGTTTCCTTTTAAAGTTCATGCCAGTACAATTAGAAAAAGTCTGAACAAGTATGGTTTGTTTGGAGGGTTGCAAGGAGAAATCTTCTTCTCTGGATCTTTCTCTGAAAAGAACATGGCAGCAAGGCTTAGGTTTGCAAAGTTGCATCTAAACAAACCACAAGACTTCTGGAACAATGTCCTTAGGACAAACAAGACCAAAGTGCAGATGTTTGGCCATAATGCACAGCACCATGTTTGGCGAAAACCGAACACAGAATATCGGCACAAACCCCTCATACCAACTATCAAGCATGGTGGTGTAGGGGGTGATAATTTCACTTGTTTTGCAGACCATGATCTCTTCTGTATACCAAAGTATTCTAGAGTCAAATGTGCGGCCATCTGTCAGACAGCTAAAGCTTGGCTGAAATTGGGTCATACAACAGGACAATGATCCCAAGCACACGAGCAAATCCACAACAGAAAGACCAGAATGCAGTGGCCCTGTCAATGTCCAGACCTCAACCAGATTGAAATACTGTTCCGGGACCTTAAGAGAGCTGTCCATAAATAAATGCCAGCATACCTCAATGAGCATTTTAAAGGAGAGTGGGCCAAAATTCCTCCACAACAATGTGAGAGACTGTTAATGTTATACAGAAAACCGTTACTTCAAGTTACTGCTGCAAAAGGTGGCTCAACAATCTATTAAATCATAAGGTGTACTTATGGCTTCTCCATTTTGGCTTTATTTTTGTTAAATACATGACGACACTGTGTAATATGTTAGGTGTGTTTGTTCATCTGAGATTGAAGTTATCTAATTTCAAGACCTGTTAAGGAACATATGATTATTATTGTCCTGATATATAAAACCATATAATTCAAACAGGGTATACTTTCTTTTTCCCATGACTGTATGTAATTGTGAGTGTGTATAAACAATAGAGTATAAATAAATCAATCAAATATATATACAAAAAAACAAAAGAAATGGTGTGGGTCACCAATGAGATAATATACATACACTGCTTATTGGTCTCCTGAAATATACTGGTAATTATATTCCAGCTTTTAATCACTTAACAACATAAAACAAAATATAGTGTAAAACTGTTGGATACAATAATAAAAGATAAGGTGATTATTGCACTTGGATGCATGCAGAGCCTCTTTAACTCTCTATTCACTCCATTTGGGACATCCTTATCTAGAACTCACTCTTTTTTTACTCCTTGGGATCCGGAACCTTGGTGTATTCAGGAGCTGACTGAGAACACCTTGGAGTCCTTTTGTGGCAGGTCTTTGGACCTATTGATGTGCCTTGATGGCCACAGTTAGTGGCGGACCACTTGTGAGTGCAATAATCACCTTATCTTTTATCATGATATCCAACAGTTTTACACTATGTTTTGTTTTATGTTTTTACGTGATTAAAAGCTGGAATATTATTTCGTAACTGGAGTACTACCAGTTATTTCGGGAGGCCGATAACCAGTGTATCTATATTATCTCATTGGGGATCCTCACACATGCAATTGTAGCACACCACACCATTTAGTTAGTTTTTTTGTGTTTATCACGGTTTTTAGAGTTAACCAGGGTGTTGGTGACGACTAGGAGACTCACTATACTTCTTGTGCAATTAAATATATATAAATGTCCAGAGTAAGAAAGTCCAGAATACACTGCAGAATGTTTGTATTAAGTAGTACCGCAAAAAATAATATAAAATAAATGTAGCCATTTGATCTGAATAATGTTGCAACATATAGTGTTACAGCAATGTTACAGCAATGTGCAATGTTGTAATAATCAGACCTTGCTAAATTGTAAGGTACTCAACGTTTATCCAGTAAAGTACAAGATCCTGAGTATTACCATATAAAGGAATATGAAAATAGAAATAAGCCCCAGTGTTTTCTTAGGCTCCCAATCTAAGGCTTTGAGTGACTACTGGTTACTAATATTCTGCAGCATATTCAGGACATGCATCTTTATGTATACTTTGTACTGTATGTATGCGTACAGCTGTCATTTAACTGCTGCAATTGGTTTTGATGTGATTTTTTACTGCTATTGAATGTGGTGTCTATAATTTTGCTTACCCTAAATATTTGCTCCTGGCTATCTTTCTATTTTTTATTTATACATTATCATTAATGGCACTGCTTAAGGCAATGGCTAGTATGGCATAACAAGGTGACTGTTAGTACCCTAGCAATATAGAAAGACCCTCCATCTCGTTGTACTTCTTATCTGCCTCTGATTTGCCCAGGCTCAGGGGCAAGTAAGGGGAGAGTATGAATATTAAATAACTTATACAAACTTGATAAAAGGATATTTAAGGTTTTCCTTTGTATTTTGCCTCGTTAAGTCTGTTGTTCATGTGTAAGAGGAAAGTTTTAATTCCTCTAGATTATCTTGTGAAACTCTAGCAGCTACCTCTTCCTGCAACATACCAGACAGACCCTCAGAGAATGCTGTGACTGGTGTGAAATACTACCAGATCACCTTGGAGGAATATGATTGGAACCTAATCATATCTCTAAGTAGTCTAGTGTTCGTTGGGGGCAGTCATGCAGTTGGGGTCTTGCTCCATTGTCCTGGGTTTGCAGAGGTCCGGCATTAGTGCTGCGTTTTTACTTTATGTCATTGTAAATAATTTTTGTGGATTACTTTACCATGCTTGGAGCTGCAGAGGGAGGTGTTAGCAGCACAATAGGAAAAGTTTGTATTTTGATTTTCTCTGGGTACTACTGTGAAGAAAATAGACCGAGTTCGGCATTTTCTTTTGTGTCCGTGCTTTTCTGCACCATTTCATTCATTTTGAATTTATTGGTTTGGCAGTTTAAAACTACCGAACACCGACCACCCTCCTGGCTCATTAACTTCAAAAGGACGTCTATTAAGCACTCTCTGGGCGGCCGCCGTTCGTATAGCCGAATGCCACGTGGAACAGAAAACGGCGGCCATCTTGTTTTCACGAAAGGAGGCAGCGGGACTTGGTCGTTGAGTGTCTGGAACTAAAATCGGACACTCGACCTCCCGAACCACCGCTGAAACTACCGAACGCCTGCTTCCTTTAGTTGCCGAACAGTCAGGAGAGCGCCATTCGGTAGTTTGGTTCATACGAACAAGGGGAGCAATCGCTCTTATGAGCCAGGAGGATCTATTCGGGACATTATTCGTTTTTATGCCATTTACTGAATTGACCAACCGCACACGCTGAATTTGTGGAACTGTTTTGGGCAGTAGCCTTGTGTGTGGTCGGTAACTTATGACTTCCATACTTTTTGAGAACCCCTTAACCGATCTGGGTGAAATTGGAATATGTTGGTCCCCCAGATTGAGGCTATCAGGGAATATGTAATTTGTGGGGATACCTTGTGTGTAAAGGGGTGTTCTAATTTTTGGGAAAATTGTGTGCCCTCTGCCTAGAGATAATTAGGTTATTCCTTAACTTATCTCAATATCTTCCAGGCAGAGAGAGGGCGGGTGTTACTGTAAATCTGTATGCTGATTGGTTATTGTCTTTGTTTACTGTGGGAGGTCCTCTTGCAGGAGGATTCTCATAAAAGCCAGTGTGGCCTCAATAAAAATGATTCCCTTCATAAAGTCTAGGCTCATGCTTGGGGAATATTCTACTTGCTGGGGAGAATCGTCTTGGAAGCTGCATTCATCTACACTATTCCTCTACCTCCTAACTGCAGTTATAATCACTTATGCTCAGCTATTGGGAAAGGAATAGAAGACCGGAGTACCATAACCACTGCAGGTCTTAACAACTGCAGTAACCCTTACCTCAGCTATATACTGTTCCTTCCCTTCTGACAGATCTAAGATCTGACCTGGGCTAATCCTTTATGGGAGACCAACATGTCAATTGCCTATAACTATGCTGAATTCCTTGCCGAATTTAAACTAACATTTGAACCATTAGGGAACGAGAAGAATGCTGCTAAGGCGATAATGGGCATCAAGCAAGGCAGTCGTACAATAGCTGATTACACCATTGAGTTCTGTACTCTTGCTTCAGAGTTAGATTGGACAAATAGTTCCATGGTTAACGCCTTCTCAGAAGGATTGTCCGATGCTATTATTGATGAGACAGCTGCCAGAGATTTACCAGATAAACTAAGCCATTCAACAACAGACTGAGAGAGAATTAGACATAAGGCAAGACGTACTGTCGTACCTCTTGCACCGCGTTTCCCAAACTCTGTTTTCCAAAAGCTTCTTGTGGTAGCAGAACCCATGCAATTAGTGGTATTAAGATTGTCTGAGGCAGAGAAACAGTTTAGGAGAAGTGAGGGTCTTTGTATGTATTCCTATCAAAATGAGTCATAAACTGAGAAACAACTGTTCGGTACGCCCGGAAAACTCATGCACCTTAGGAACGTATGGTGACCAGCCTTATGTGTTTTGCACATGTCCCTGGTTATGCCTCTTAATAGACTCTTCCTTTCTGTTTTCCTCCTGTTTAACAACTTAGCGGTTTCTTGTGATGCTTTAATAGATTTGGTAGAAGCAGAGAACTGTTGATGCACACTTCATGTCTGTATATGCTAATCCTCTTATGGAGAGATCAACACCTAGATGATAGATCTCTCAAGAAGCCTCTTATAACCCATGAGACCTTCCCCATTTCTTTATTGGTAGGTGCTTGACATAAGGAACTCATTACCTTCCAGGTTATTTCCTCCCCTTTGTGTCCAATTGTACTTGGATTTCCATGGCTAGCCAAACATGATCCTCGTATTGACTGGAGGAAAGGGGAAAATATTGGCTTGGGGTGATGAGTGTAGTAACATATGCCTTTTGCCAGTGACCAAACAATTGGGCACCATCAGCGTGCCTAAAACTTCTCCGCTTTCTACTAAGGATCCCCTCCAATACATGGATGTAAATGAGGTGTTAAATAAGGTACACCCGATACTCTAGCTCCGCATAGATCATATGATTGCTCTATAGATCTATTGCTCGGTACAATGCATCCTAAAGGAAGAGTTTATACCCGGTCTCCCCTAGAGAGCAAAACCATGGAGGAATACATACAAGAGTCGTTGACCAAGGGTCACATATACGTAGATCCTCTTCTCCAGCGGGAGCAGTGTTTTTCTTCGTATCTAAAAAAGAAGGTGATCCACGCCCATGTATTGGTTACAGGGCACTCAACAAGATAACTATAAAAAATGCATACCCTATGCCACTCATATCAGAATTATTCGACAGATTAAAAGGGGCTAGAGTTTTCACCAAACTAGATCTAGAGCGCATATAATCTCCTAAGGATAAAAGAAGGTCATGAATGGAAAACAGTGTTCAGTATTAGAAGCGGTCACTACAAATACCTTTTGTTGCCCAGGCTGTGACACAGCCTGGGGAGGTCCAGTAAGGAGAGAGGGACCCTTCCCACGGTCCCTTTCATGTCTCCAATGGTTCAGACGCCGGCCCGCTATAGCTCTGCCCCTTTTTATGATTCGGCACGTGCGTGCTGACGTCATTACGTCACAGCCCGCCAAAACATTTGAATTTGAACGTTTTGGGAGCGTGGCTATAATTTAAAGACATAGAGTATAAAAGGAGCACTGAAGGAATGGACCATTGCCCTGTTGTGGTTTCTGTTTTCAGTTCCCAAGAGTTCGTTTTATCCTGTGTTTATTCTGATATTTTGATATTGGCTTTCTCCTGACTATTCTCCGTTCTATCCTCCCTGACTCAGCTATTGTTTTTTTCACTTCCCTGATTTCTGGCTTCCCTGACTCGGCTTGTCCCTGACTATTCTTGTTCTAACAGCGTATAAACCGGCCATTCTAAGGACCGGTAAACGTTATCTAATCTATTATTATAGCTATTTACTCTGTGTGTTGGGTCACATGTTATCGTGACACTGGTTATGCCTTTTGGGTTGTGTAATGCCCCCGCTGTTTTCCAGGATCTCATAAACAATGTCTTAAGGGAATATATATTCCTTTGTCTTGGTATACCTTGATGATAAACTTCTTTACTTATCCAATCTGAAAACACACCATGTGCAAGTTAAACTGGTTCTGCAAACTCTGCTTAAAATACGGTCTATATTGTAAATTTGAAAAATGTTTATTTGATTAGACGGAGGAGCAGTTTTTTTGGGTATATCATAACTGCTTCTGGTTTCATGATGGGTCCATGGAAACTTGAAACAGTTTTGCTATGGCTTATACCTCATGGATTAAAAGCAATCCAAAGGTTTATCAGGTTTGTGAATTATTACTGTAGATTCTTCTAAGGGTTTTCTACGATATAGCCCCTGTAACCAATCTGACACGTAAGGATATGAAAAGTCAGGTATGGCCTAAAGAGGCTATTGATGGTAGAAAACCATTCATAATAGAAGTAGATGCTTCTGGGACTGGGGTTGGTGCTGTCCCAGTCATCAATGTGGATTCTTCTAAAAAAAACTGCTAGTTTTCTGGAAGTTCAATTCATTGAAACTGATTAGTTCGGCACTTTGAGTCGCGCTGTCATGACGTCGGTGCGACTCCGTAAAAATAGACACACACACAGAGCGTGCAGCGTCTGAGCCGTCGCCAGATTGGGGAGCTCCGGAACGGGTAAGTATGGAATCCGGGTTGTATCATTTCATCCACGATTCTTTCTTTGTCCTTCTTGGTGTCATAATAGCAGTTCAGGCTCAGGCACCTATTAATAAATCTCTAGAAACATTGTCCATTCCAGTATCCAAAAGAAAGTCGATATTAAGTATGTTCCATGACAATATGACTACTGGGCATCCAGGTATCCGCAAAACCTTTTCTGCAGTCATTAGAAGGTTCTGATGGCACTCTCTTAGGAACGATATAGTGGCGTATGTCAATGCTTGCAAGACGTGGCCACCCCCGCGCTTACTCGGCGCGGATCGGTGCCGCAACACATGGCGGCGGGCACCTGATCGCAGGGCTGCGACCCCGCGACCGTGGTATGCTGCACACACACCTAAAGGACCAATACAGACACCCAGATCACATCAGCTCAATGAAGTGGTCTGGGTGCCAGGTCCCTCTAGTTTTAACCCTGCAGCTGAAAACATAGCTGTTTCAGAGAAACGGCTATGTTTCACTGAGGGTTAATCCAGCCTCTGGTGGCTGTCTCATTGACAGCCGCTAGAGGAGATTCCGCGATTCTCACTGTGAAAATCACAGTGAGAAGACACTGAACGTCCATAGGAAAGCATTGAGTAATGCTTTCCTATGGGCGGTTTAAATGCGCGTGCGCGCCTCTTGCCGCGCATGTGCATTCGGAGCTGAGAAGCGGAGGGATCCCCAGCGCCAATGAAGTCCGGCGCTGGAGAAAGGTAAATGCTGAAGACACACACTCTCACGAACAGACGCATACACACTAGCTAACAGACACACACATTTACTGACAGAGACACACTCAGCGACAGACATACATACACACTCACTTACAAAACATACACTTTCACTGACAAACACACACTCACTAACAGACATCAGACACACTCAGTAACAGACACACTCAGTAACAGACACACCCAATAACAGACACTCCCAATAACAGACACACTAACACCCACACTAACACTTACACACACACACACTAACACACACACTCTAACACACACACTAACACTAACACACACACACACACACAACACTAACACACACTAACACATACACAAACTAAAACACACACATATGTGCTGCATATTCCTTGATCTCATCTAGCAATTGACTTCATTGTTGATATACCTGTGTTCAATGGATATAATATGATTCTAATGGTTGTTGAATGATTCTCACTAATGGCTCACTTTATTCCACTCAAAAAGGTGCCATCCTCCCTTGAGCTTGCTCGTATATTCACTTAAGAGGTATTCCAGTTGCATGGTGTTACTCACAATTATGTATCTGACAGGGGTACGCAATTTGTATCTTGGTTCTGGAGATCTTTTTGTAAGGAATTGGGTATAGAATTGTCTCTTTCTTCCTCATACCATCCCCAAATGAATGATGCCTCAGAAAAGGCCAATCAATCCTTGGAAGTATACATAAGATGTTTTGTCAATAGTGCTCAAGACAATTGGTCTGAACTCTTACCTTTTGCCAGAAACAATGCTACACATGACTCTTCTGGTTTTAGTCCATTCAATATCACTAATGGTCTTCATCCTACTATCTAGCCTTCTGAGTTCTCGGTTACCACTATCCCTGTCTTGCATGAACACCCGGCCACCATGCATAGGTCCTGGAATCAGATACATAACACCTTAGAGAAGGCAACGTCACGTTACAAACTGCAGGCTGATAAGCAGTGTGGCACTACACCTTCTTATCAAGTAGGTGACAGAGTTTGGTTGCCACACGGTACATAAGACTCAAATTGCCGTCTTTGAAATTCGACCCATGGTTCTTTCGGTCGAACCCATGGTTCTTTCGTGTTGTGTGTAAGGTCAACCCTGTTTTCTATATGTGTGTCTGTATATGTGTGTCTGTATGTATTGGTCTCTCTGTGTATGTGTGTGTTTGTATGTATGTGGCTGTGTGCATGTGTGTCTGTATGTATGTATGTGTGTGTTTGTGTGTCTATATGTATGTGTGTCTGTATGTATGTGTGTGTCTGTGACTGTGTGTGTATGCATGTGTCTGTATGTGTGGGGGGTGGAGACATATGGGTTGGGGGTAGATGTATGGGAGGCGGGAACGTATGGAGTGGGGGGTAGACGTATGGGGGGGCCCAGGGCCCTGTAGTTTCTAGTCACGCATCTGCTTCCATGTATCTTTGCTCAAACCTCTCCTCTGCAATAGATACAATTCCCCTTCTAGTCCTCCTCCTTCATTAGTGATTGCAGGTCAGGAGTAATATGAAACATGTTCTATCTTGGATTTTAGGTTTCCTCATGGTTTTTACAGTATTTAGCTGACTGGAAGGCTTATAAGAAATGTTCCTGGGTTCCTACTGCAGACGTTAATGCTTGTCGCCTTCTCCACTCCTTCCATGCTCGGTTCCCTGGTAAACCCAGTTCTAATTGCCTGGTGGGTGGTCTTCTTGTGGTGGTTACTATCACGGTGCCTGATTAGCACCGCCATGTGATTACACCCAATCGGTGCGCTCACGCTGCAGAAGGGAGGGGTTACTCACCAGATATGCAGCCTCTCCCTCAGAGCCATATCTGATGCAGCACCCCGGGTCCTACATTATAAAGGCCACTGGCTGCTGCAGTACTACGCTACTTAATAGCAAATCTCCAGAAACCATCATATATGACATAAATGTGCGTTTGTCATCACATTTTCAATGCACACATGTTCTGGGGTAATAGGACCCATTCTGTCCAGTAAGCACGGTATAAGGGTTCTTTAAACCCAAACCTGCTTGTTAACAGAGCCCTGTTGTGGTTTCCACCTAGTTTGGTTATCTGATAGCACAATCTGTTTATTGCTGTCTGGGTTTTGATCTTGGCTTGTTCCTGACAATCCATATTTCTGGTATCCTTGATCCTTTGTCTTTGTCTTCTTGTTTATGCTTCTGTCTGACCTCAGCTTTGTTACTGACTATTCTTTCTATGTTAAATCTGGTCATTATAAGGCCCAGTAATACACGTGTTTGACTTGGTTCTGCGTGTTGGGCCACAGACCCATCATGACACCTAACCACCAAGTTCAGACACAAGCTGAGGAATAGCCCATTGAAAAGTCAGAAGATTGTGTTTGTGTAAACAAGAAGAAGAAGGAATTAGAAAGAAAAATAAGTGAGAGAAGCAGAAGGAAAAAGAGAAGGGAGACAAGAAGAGAAGAGAAAAAAGGGGTGAGGCAGGATAAAGAGGACAGGAAAAGAGGAATCCCGTTGCCAAAAGATGTCTTCCACTCACATGCCCAAGTGGACCTCAGGAAAAGATTATGTCTGATCCCCACTACCCCTACAACCATTGCAGTGTTCATCATGTTATCTGACAGCTTCTGGGAAGGAGAGGAAATCCAGCCAATAGAACCATTTCCATGTGTGTGGTTCCCTAGCCCAAACCGTAATAGCTGCAAGGTCCTTGGTTTGTCAAATATCTTCTACCTCTTGGACCCAATGGACCACTGATGGTGTGCAGGATTAATGCCAATACAATGGGACCACTGTCTTTGCAGAGTTGAGCAGTTGTGAGTATTGAGCATTTGCATGTTACAAGTGACAATGGTGTGTGATGTAAAAGCAAAACCACAGGTTCAAAGGCTGGTGGCTTGTCCAGAAAGCTTTCCAGGACGGTTTAAACCAACCTCCTAAACCTCTCAATGAGGGCACATCCCCACCAAATGTGGAGCAGGTCCATATTTGCCACCCTGCAGCATCAGCACAATGGGGAAGGAGCTAATCCCTGAGCATAAATTTACATTTAGTCCCATACAAGCTAATGGGAAGTTTAAATGATGAGTTTCTGTTAGTGTAATGTAAATGAGTTGTCAGTATTCAATGAAGTAATATCATCCCCCCCCTCAATTCAAGTTCCCCATTGGCTATTGGTCCTACAGGGACTTTTTTTGGGCTGTCTCTGGGGAGGTCTGCTGATCTGAAAGGCAAGCCTGTTTAGGTCTGACAGCCTACATGCCTTAGGATGCCACCACTGCATTAATCTGTAGTGGTTATGGTGGTTGCGGTTTTCCTCAATCATTACAAAGTTTTGTAAAAAGATAATCATTAGTTTATTTCCAGCTGCCCATTTCCATCCCTCTCTCCCACATTGAGGGGCTTCCATTTTTATCCACAAATATTGCAAGCTATAATGTCAAGACTTCAGTTTCTCCAGTAGAAAACTGACAAATGGCTGACAATTCCCAGAAATCCCTGCTATGTTTATATAAATGTGTATTCCTAGCGCTCTACTGTTCAACTCCATATTTAGATTCAGTGCCTCCCTAAATGAAATGAAAAAAGGAAAGGAAAAAAATATTTTACATACCAGAAATGAAACTCACCCTGTGCAGCCACGTGCTTTGCCTCTGATGACATTGTCCCACATTGTACTCCTCTTCATCTTCTCGTTCAATCCAATGCCTCTCATAGGCATTTGAGGAAGTTTGACATTCTCATGCAATGCATGAGGATGTCGACCGTCACATAGCCAAGTTTGACTTGGTCTTTGGAGAAAAAACACCTTCCATTGGCTGTCATGAAAACAGCCATAAGAGGTGTGTTTAGCTCTGCAATGAAAGCATTGTCATATCCACAAAATTGGAACAACAGGTCCACTGCACCCAGACCACTACATTGAGATACAGTGGTCTGGGTGCCTTCACTGGTCCTTTAAGGGAGCATTAGTCATTCCCTAGTGCGGTGAGAGCATACTTCAAATTTCAATACTGCATATGTATTTATTTTTTAAAAATGTTTAATTAATTTATTTTTCAATGCATTAACTTTATAAGGCATTAAGAAGATTGGTTTAAATCTAGCCCAAACCATCGATATTAAATCATAGTTTCTAAACAGGGCAAGTGTTATACAGGTTACATTTTCCTAATTCTATGATCCAAAGCATCAACATCAATAGTCTCCTACCTTGTCCTGTTATTTTCTTTACACTTTGACCTTTCTAAGCTGATTTTATTTTTAATTTTGTTTATTGGCTTAGGTATATGTCCTCATATGCTAAAACATACTCAGTGAATGCACATTTTAATTATTTATTACAGAAAAAAATACTTTTGACTTAACTGTTTTGATTTCTGGAGTACTGCAATTTTTTTTATTAACGTTTGGACATTACATCACGTGCAATTCAGGAACAAACATTTAGATATTGATATTAGAATATATTTACTTAATTATCAAACAGTTTTATTGCATAAATCAATTCTAGTACAAGAAAAGGCACCCGATCACGACTTTTGATGTATACATTCTTTACGTTAAAGGTATTTTCTCCACCACCACCAAAAGTGTGTAACTTAATTATTCCTTTTATAGACTCATTTACACATTCTTCAGAACCTTGTCAAATCACTGATAGTCCGCATTTATTTTAAACCTTTTAATCTACCGTTGTGATTTATTTTTAGGAATTTCTATCTTGTTATAACTGTTCGTATACCTGTATACAGATTATCTTTTCACCATTGTTTAATTTTGGGTATAATATTACTATTTAATTTCTAGTATAGGAGAGGTAGCTCTCCTGCTTTAAAATATACTGAAACACTTCTAAATTGCGAAAAAATAGATGTTAACGAATAACTGATATAATTTTTGCTTTTTGCTATTTGTGTAGCAAACAGAATTATTTTAAAGCGCTGCTTGATCTCACGCTAAGCAGACATAGTGAAAACATGCTATTTTTTTACAAGACCAATATTTTCTGTGCATTTTTCATTCACAATTTAAGACTATTTAGAGTTTTTTTTAAACATAAAAAGAGAAAAAATATGACAGAATGAAACAGTATTAATGTTTTTTCACATGCAGTTAATTATAACAATTTATTTTTCAGTTTTCATAGAGCAAATAAAATAAAATAAAAAAATTCAAAATACTTGGCTTAAATCAATGTATTGTTTGCGTTAATCTCCTCTCCTATGAGACTTGGCCAATTCTCTTAGCGGAATACACTGGATGGTATTTTCTGCACACATAAGGGATATATTAAATATACAGCATTGCACATAACATTCACTTATGATATTACCTTTAAAGTCTGACTAATTATGTGTGCCTATTTATAATATTGGGTATTTCTTCAATTAATAAATAATGACAATAATTACAGCAATAAACTGCAAAATTTACTTTTTGCTTTATTCATTAAACTCCGAATTGTAGTGATTCGAAAATGGATGATAATAAAAATTATTCAACTCAGTTTTGATCACATCGCTATTATAGCTTTAAATTTTGAAATTTTAGAATTCATATCACTACAATCTGAAGTTTGCAGATAACTCTGCCTGTGATTTCAATTCATGTTGTGATTGTTTTTTTTCCTTTTAAATATTTTTCTGTCCGTTTTTTTGTTTATTGATCCAAAGAGATAAATTATTATTATAATTTGAAAACTATACCATACAAACAATAGTTACAAAAATAATTAAAACCCACTTTCTACAGCCCTGACCATGAACCTTATAAATAAAATGTTTTAATGTATGATTGTTTGTCTACATGATTTATTATTATTTTTTTAAAGAAAACTGAATTTAAACTTTGCTCAATAAAAAACAACATTAACAAACGTAGTAACACAAAATTTGTTTGTTGAAGAGGAATAAAAAAATGTAGGTTAATCAAATGTGCCAGTATTTGCCTTAGGAATCTGGACTGCATGTGTAGCCAAGGATATGTAGCAGGCAGACTGGTGAAATCATGGATTATTCAAGTGTATGAAACAAACAAATAAATCCAGTTAATCCAGGGGTTAAATTGTGAAATGTAATTTTATAATTTCCTGTGTGGAGGAGAGCACTGGTAATCTACACAAAAATAATACAGTGATTTGAAATATCTTTATTAAAAAAGCCATAGCATGAAAAAAATGTTTTTCCCTCTCTGTGAACGTGCCCGCTTGCCATTTTTGATTACCATCATGCACAGATTCTTTTTCCTAACGTCCATTTTAAGGCAGAGATGGCTCTCTGCCAAACTACGGCTACACACAAATGGAATCCCCCAATCGGCAGG